CGCGCCCGCGCCCAGCAGCTGCGGGGGCACGAACAGGCGGTGCACCTGACGCAGGGCCAGCCGCTCGGAGGGGTAGGCTTATGTCGGGCGTGTCCCCATACAGGGGGATTTTCGACGATAAATAAAAAATACCCCAAAAATACCTCCCAAAGGCCGAAGCATACTCAAAAAATAGTCCCCAGACTACTCTTGGACTCTTTTTTGACTATTGTTGAGGTTCTTTGATTTTTCGTCGAACGTCCCCCTGTAGGGGGACAGGCCCGACTTCAGCGTAGGCACGAGGGGGCGAGGCCGGGGTCGGACTGCTCCTGCCCTCGTGGGCCTCTCCCGGGCCCTCCGGCAGAGGCGCGCGGAAGCGCTGGGGGCCTCCCGCCCGCAGAGGTCGGGCCCCAGAGCTCCCCGCACGGGGGCGGGGATTTTCGACGAAAAATATATTAAATTATCCCGGCAAAGCAACCTAACAGCGATGTGTAGAAGCATATCTGGAAGCATTCCCCTTAAGATTTAGGTGAGAATCCAGTTGTAGAATTCTGCTGTTCTCGCAGTCGCAGCCTCAGCCTGCCTCGGCTTGCCTCGGCCTCAGCCTCAGCCTGCCTCGGCCTCAGCCTCAGCCTCAGCCTGCCTCAGCCTCAGCGTCAGCCTCAGCCTCAGCCGCAGCCTCACAGTTGGCTCCGGGCAATCAAAATGTAGCCTGGGAATGGTGTTCTGGGAACACGAAGAACACGAAATGGCTTACAGTTGGCTCCGGGCATTCAAAATGTGGCCCGGGAATGGTGTTCTGGGAACACGAAGAACACGAAACGGCCTACACTTGGCTCCGGGCATTCAAAATGTGGCCCGGGAATGGTGTTCTGGGAAGTCCAAGAGCACGAAATGGCCTACAGTTGGCTCGGGGCATCCAAAATGTGGCCCGGGAATGGAGTTCTGGGAAATCGAAGAGCACGAAGTGGCCTACAGTTGGCTCCGGGCATCCAAAATGTGGCCCGGGAATGGAGTTCTGGGAGCGCCAAGAGCGATTCTGCGAGGGTGTCTCAGGCGATTTGGGTGGCGGCGGCAGAGTGCCGGCAGATCGCCGGATCCCGCCCAGACCCCCCTGGGGAGTCATGATGCTTTCTTTTGACCCTACTAGAAACCTATCAGTCTTCGCTGTTAGGTAAAAAAAAAAAAAACCTAACCTAAAACTCGTGAAAAAATATTCCAAAAATAGTCTGGGGACTATTCCTTTAGTATTTCTTGACCTTTTTGGGGCACTTCTGGGGGTATTTTCAATTCTTCGTCGAGAATCCCCCTGTGCGGGGACAGGCCCGACTTCATGCTCCTGGCCATCAGCGGGACCAGCGAGCACGCACGCCTCGGTCTGCACACGGGCCTCCCAGCCGAAGGGGTCGGAGGGCCGCGCCGCCTCGCCGACGTGCCGCCGAGGCATCGGCGGCGCCGGCGCGGAGAGCATCGGGCTTCACACAAAACCGCATCGCCGCTGCATCGGCGCTGCAGCGCGAGCCTCCGACCCCGCTCGCGTGACCACGCAGCCGCAATCAGTTCGGGTCGGGCGAAAGGGGGGGATTGCAAAGGGGGGGGGTTGAGAATCAGCTCACGTAGCTGATTTGTTCCTGGCGCCTCCCGGCGCCGGAGGCGGCTATGTATCGTGGAATGGGCCCCTCGCTGAGGCCGAAACCAGCTGCATGCAGCAAATTTCGTGACCCCCCTTTTCCCGATCCCCCCTTTCGTCCAACCCGATCAGTGCATTGGGGCGGCTGGATTCTTTCCCAGAGGTCGTGGCTGTCGACGAGCCGCGAGCGGAAGCAGAGCGAGCCCGCACACGAGCCACTCTTCTGCCGAGCATGGTCAACACACAATGCGGGTAGCATTTGCGGGATGGCGAAAAAGTGTTCCACCTCTTGGGCCCCACTGGGAGGCCTAGCGCCGCATCGCCGATGTGTCGCCGATGTGTCGCCGAAAAAGTGCTCCACCTCTTGGGCCCCACTGGGAGGCCCAACGGCCTCCTCCGCATCGGCCGCCCGAACGCGCGTTCCTGCGCGCGCGCGCGAGCCACCGAGAGCCCCAGTCGGGGGCTGCCGGGCGTGCCCGGCCGAAGGTGTCCCCAGCTGGTCGAGCCAGTCTGAGGCTCCTGGGGCCCCCTGAGGCTGAGGCTGCCAGCAGCAGCGGCAGCAGCAGCACGGCGGCGGCGACACCCGAGGAGAGGAGAGGGTTAGGAGGCGGAGGAGGAGAGCCCCCAGGCTGCAGGCCGGGTTGCTCTTCCAAGTGCCGCGTCCTGGGACCCTCTGGGCCTCGTGAGGAGCACTCGCGAGAGGCCGTGGGAGCCTCCCTGAACACCCGGGGCCAGGGGCACTCCTGGCAGCACCCGGCCCAGGAGTCCAAGGAGCGGGCCCCGCGTGGAGGCGGCTCAGCTGCGCGACCGGCGCGCTGCAGGGCTCCTCCGACGCGCTCCTCGCCAGCACCACCAGCTGCGCCTCGCACAGGCCGCCCACCCCGTGCGCCTCCATGAGGGGCCAACGAGAAACGCATCGCCGATGCATCGGCGACGCGGCGCGATCCTCCGAAACCATCTATGGCTCCATCTTGGAGGCCTAGAGCCCCGTCTCTGGGGCCAGCTGCTCATCCCGAGCAATCGGTTGGTGTTGCCGCCGGGGCCCAAGAATGGACCTCCTGGTGTCGAGCCGCCAAATGCCCAAACTCTCGACCTCAACAGTCGCGTGGCTGTGGTTTGTTCTCCATTGGCCAGACGACACCTGCGATGGTCTCGTGAAGTCTTGGCGGCGATGGCTCCCCAGGACGCCCCGAAGTTACAAAACACACAATGATTACATTCCACTTCTCCTCCTCCTCCTCCTCCTCCTCCTCCTCCTCCTGCTCTTCCCCCTCCTCCTTTTCCAGCGGCCACGAAAACCTTTGAAAACCTTCGAAAACCTTCGGACACCCGTCATCTTCCTCCCTCCTGCTCCTCCTGCTGCTACCCCTGCTGCTGCTCCTCCTCCTCCTCCTCACCACCACCACCACCACTACCACTACCACAATCCTCATCATCATCATCATCATCATCATCATCATCATCATCATCATCAGCAGTATCAGCATCGTCATCATCATCATCATCATCATCATCATCATCATCATCATCATCATCATCATCATCATCATCATCATCATCATCATGGTCACCATCATCATCATCATCATCATCATCATCATCAGCATCAGCATCATCATCATCATCATCATCAATACCACAATCACAACTACCACCACCACCACCATCCACAACCACCACCATCATCATCGCCACCACCACCACCATTATCATAATCATCAGCATCATCATCACCATCATCCTCATCCTTATCATGAATACCTTCGTCATCACCATCACCATCACCATCAGCATCATCGTAATCCTTCTGACCATCATGATCATCGTCAACATCATCGTCATCGGCATCTTCGTCGCCATCAGCATCAACAACATCATCATTATTATCAGCAGCAGCATCAACGTCAGCATCATCACAATCATCATCGCCATCACCATGACCATCATCATCACCATCACCATCACCGTCAACATCAGCATCACAATCAGCAACCTCATCAATGTCATCACCAGCATCATCACTGTCGTCATCATCATCACCACCATCACCATCATCATGAGCATTATGATCATTATGAGCATACTGCATCAGCAAGAGCATCAGCATCAGCATCATCATCATCATCAGCATCATCATCATCATCAGCAGCAGCATCATCATTATCATCATCCTCCTCATCGTCACTACCATCATCTTCACCATCATTCTCACCATCAGCAGCATCACCACCACAAGCACAAGCACTAACTTCAGCATCAACACCATCGTCATCAATACCATCAACATCATCATCACTATCACCATCATCATCACCAGCATAAGCACCATCATCATCGTCATCAGCACCATCATCATTATCAGCACCAGCATCAGCATCACCATCATCAGCACCAGCATCATCATCATCAGCATCATCATCACCATGATCATAATAATTGTCAGCATCAGCAACACCAACATCGTCATCAACATCATAATTATCATCACCGTCATCATCACACCATCACAACCACCACCATCACCATCATCATCACCGTCACCATCACCATCACCATCAGCATGATCAACATCAACATCAACATCATCACATCACCATCGATATCACCATCACCACCATTAGTTGCCTTCACCACCACCACCATCATCATCACCACCAACATCACCATCACCATCACCATCACAATCACCATCACCATCACCATCACCATCATCATCATCATCATCATCATCATCATCATCATCATCAACATCGTCATCATCACTATCTTCATCATCAGCATCGTGATCATCATCATCCTCATCCCGATCCTCATCTTCATCCTTATCCTCATCCTCATCCTCATCGTCCTCATCATCCTCATCATCCTCATCATCCTCATCATCCTCGCCCTCCTCATCCTCCTCATCCTCATTCTCTGGACTGGAGCACGTTCCGACTACATCCTTAGGCCTTCGCGACACTTCATGCGTGCCTGTGATGCCTGCCAAGATACCCAAACATACCCGAAACATGAAAGCCCATCCGATATTGTTCAATCTCATTCCGTCTCGCATCCCGCCTCGCCACCAAATAAAATGAACCCCTGGACCCGTTCAGAGCACCAACCCGTTCCCGGGCGCTTTCAGCTGCTGTGCCAACGAAAATGAAGGGGGGGAATCTTTCGAAAACACTCGGACACCCCACTCCGCCAATACCGACCTCCTGACCTGGCCCTGGGAGCGTTCTCGTCAGGACTTTGAGGAGGCCCCCCGCGAAGGGCCCCCCAACAAGCCCCAAGCCTCCTCCTAGTACTGCATCCCTCCCTCCCTCCCTCCGGCCGCCTTGTCGATTCCTCCTCCTACTCCTCCTCACCCTCTTTCCCCCCCACACTGCGATGACGAGGCCGACGACGACGACGACGACGACGACGACGACGACGACGACGACGACGACGGCGGCGGCGGCGGCGGCGGCGGCGGCGGCCGCTGCGGCGGCGGCGAGATGGCGAACAAAAACAACGAAGACGAAGATGATGACGACGACGAAAGCGACGGAAGCGACGACGACGACGACGACGGCGAACAGGCGGGCATGGCACCGGCGAGGGCGGATATATGAGGCTGCTCGCTGCAGCGCCTCCTGGGGCGAAGGGCGGAGGAGGGAGGCGGTAGAAGGAGGAGGGGAGGGTGAGAGCATGAGGAGGGGGAGGGGGGTGGGAGGAGGGGGGTGGGAGGAGGAAGGGGAGGGGAGTGGAGAGGAGGATCCCTTTGTTACCTTCGCTTCGGGGGATCTACGATTACTGCCCAGGGTGCTGGGGCTGAGAGGGCCAGGAGACGTCGAAAGAAACAACGCATCGTCGATGCCCGCCCAACGCGGGGAGGAACGGGAGAAGGGTTTGGAGGAATATGGAGAGGGGGAGGAGGGATGGGTGTAAGGGGAGTAAGGAGGGGAGAGGATGGCTTCAGAAGCTTCTAGGTCGCCCGCCGGGGTTCAGGTGAAGTTCAAAGGGGATCCAGGGGTGTCCTAGAGGGAGTAGAGGAAGAGCCTGAAGCGCCCTCGCCGCTATCGCTGGATCCACCCCGCCATCATTGTGAAAAGCGTCCTGCAGCCATCGTGCTGCCAGAAGGAACGCCGAAGCAGGAACGCAGGGACGTGCATGGCCAAGGAGAGCGTTGGCCACAATCTAAGGAATGCCCCGAAAACAGAGCCCCCCTCCTGAGCCCAAGGCGGTCCTTGTTTGAGAATCTGGACTGTAGGACAAGTCTTTGGGGCGATGTTTGGCGGAGGGAGGAGAAGGAACATAATGAGGGTGCCTTCCCATCCTACCCCAGAGGTCCTGAGATTCCTTCACGTCCTGCTGAGGGGGAGGAGAGTATTTCCTCGCCCTCCTCCTAACCCCCACCGCATTGCCCCTCCTCAAACGTTTCAAGCTCTGCAAACGTTTACTAATTCAAGCTGTGCGCACACGTTTGAGACTTGAAACTCTGACAGCCTGAATGCTTGAACCTTTGACCACTTGGCAATATCATTGCACATGTAGGTATGCAACAATATAGCTTCAAATGTTGAAATATATCAAGCAAACATCGATCAACATCTAGAGTTCCATGCTGTAAAACTTCCGATGTCCACTAAATGCTCAAAGCTCTGAACTATCGTTGCGACATATGTTCAGACAATACAGCGTCCTGGGTCTGCTTCCTCGGACTTCTGCACCGTTTGTATGCGTAGAGATGCTCGTTGCTACAAGACTGTTGTGATGCGCGCATCAACTTGTCTGCGCACTCGTCTCCCTGCTCTGCGACTTCCAAAGGTCTGTATAGGTCTCCGAGGAGGTCCCACGAGCCATCGCAAGCACAAGGAGGGGCCAGAAACGCCCGACAGCCTCGACATCGCACCTCGATCGACGACGACGAGAACGACGACGACGAAGACGACGAAGCCCGCCGAAGACGACGACCGCCAGCCTGACCGACGACGACAGAGTCGGGAGCGGCCAAGAGGGGGGTGTCCAAGAGGGGGGGGTGCAAATCATGGCCGGCGGCATGTGCGCGGCCCAGCGGAGGGGCCAGGGACGTAATGGAATAAGAAGAGGCGCCATGAAATCTGACGAGATATCATGCCCCCCGCCACGATATCCGCCCCCCCCCCCCAGTCATCACCCCCCTCTTTTCCGCCCACGACAGAGCAACGACGACACACCACGACGCCGCGGAGAACCGGCCGGCTCCAGAGGACATCCCCGTGACGTGCGCCGGCTCGGAGGCGGCGAGCCTACGCCGGGGCGCCGCCGCCGCGCACCACCGCCGAGGGGCGCCGCCGTCGTCGCGCCGTCGTCGTTCTCTTGCGTTGTCGTTGTCGCCGCTGTCGTCGTCGTGGCCCTCGCCGCTGTCGTCGTCGTGACCCTCGTCGTCGTCGTGGCCCTCGTCGTGGCCCTCGTCGTGGCCCTCGTCGTGGCCGTCGTCGTTTTCTTGCGTATTAGTCGTTGTCGCCGCTGTCGTCGTCGTGGCCCTCCTCGTGGCCGTTCTCCTCGGCCCCCTGCTCGCCGCCGTCGCCCTCGTCGCTGTCCTCGTCACGTCGCCGTTCTCGTCCTCGCCGTTCTCGTCGTCGTCGCCGTCCTGGCCGCCCACGGAGGGGGGCTGGGCCGAGCGAGGGAGAGGCCGCGGGGGCCAGCAGAAAACCTGCGGAGGAGCCTCGTCGCCGCCTCGTCGTCTCGCCGTCGTCGCCTCGGGCGGGCGGGGGGAACGGCGGCGAGGCGGAGGGGACACACGGGGAGGTGGGAAGCGCCTCCCCCCCCCACGCGCCGCCACGCGCCGCCAGCGCCAGGCCGGGACGACGGCGGCGGCGGCGGGGGCGACGACGAGGAGGGCGGCCTCACGCCTGGAAAAGACCCCCCGCCCGCAGACGCGCGGGCGGGGAAGGTACCCGGAGCAGGCAACAAACGGTTGAAAACATTGCCCCCCTCTCCCGCTTCTCCTCCCTCCCTCCCCATCCTCCTCCTCCTCCTCCTCCTCCTGCTCCTGCTCCTCCTCCTCCTTTAACAATGACTCAACATACATACTACTTTCCTCTCTCCACGGCCTACTAAGACGAAGGCAGAATGGAGACAAGCTCGGACCGATAGAATTCGGAAAATTCTGTGAATCGGCGGAATTGGAAGATAAATCGGGGGCCGCGGCGGTTGCAGAGCGCACCGTGCGGGTACGCTCTGAGAGCTTTCCGGAACGCTCTGGAACGGCAGTATCTAAATCTGAGGCCCGTCCGAATCACGTCCTGGAGGTAGCCTGCCTCCTCCGTGCCCTGCTGTTCGACGCACCAGATCTCAAGCATTGACTTGGTCGTGCGTGCGTCCGTTCGTTCCATCGGAACGTTTTTTTTTGTGTGGCGAGGCAACGTCGGACTCTTCCTGCTGGTCGCAAACCTGCTGCTCCTCCTCCTCCTCCTCCTCCTCCTCCTCCTCCTCCTCCTCCTCCTTCCGCAGTTTCTGCTCAGGGCCCCTTAGAACTAGACCTACCTAGGACCTACCTCCTCCTCACCATCTCTTATTCCTCCTCCTCCTCCTCCTCCTCCTCCTCCTCCTCCTCCTCCTCCTCCACCTTCCTCACTCCATCTCTCCAGCTACCCCCTCTTCCTCCCTCCCTCCCTCTTCCCCGCTCCCGCCGCCTCCTCTCTCCTCCGCCCTCCTCCCTCCCTCCGCCTCCCCTGGCGACGACGACGGCGGCCACCGACGGCCGCGACGACGGCGGCGAAGCCCCCGCCGCCGCCGCCGCCGCCGCCGCCGCCGCCCGCGCCGCCGTCCGCGCCGCCGGTGCCCGCCGCCGCCGCCGCCATTCGCGTCGCCGCCGCCGCCGTCGCGACCCGAGTCGCCGCCGCCGCCGCCGCGCGCGCGCGCGCGCCTCGGCGAGGAGCACGCCCCCGCGGTGGGGGGGCCCGTCGCGGGCGCCGCGGCGCGGCGGCCAGCGGGGCGGCGGCCAGGGGGCCGGCCGCGGGCCGGGCGCTGCGAGGGGCTTCTTCTTCTTGCCGCCGCGCTTCGAGGCCTGCGGGGGCACGAGGTAGAAGTGGAGGAGAGGATGAGGAGGGAGAGGAGGAGGAGGAGGAGGAGGAAGGAGAGGAGGAGGAGGAGGAGGAGGAGGAGGAAGGAGAGGAGGAGGAGGAGGAGGAGGAGGAGGAGGAGGAGGAGGAGGAGGAGGAGGAAGGAGAGGAGGAAGGGGAAGGGGAAGGGGAGGATGCGGAGGAAGAGCAGGGAAACCAGGAGAGGGCAGATGCATGGGCGGCAGGTCGCCTGTCAAGAGCCAGGCGCCCCAGAGAACGAGCGAGCTCGCGCCAAGCGGCATTCCCCTTCTGAGGTAGAAGGACGGGAAGGAGGAAGAGGAGGAGGAGGAAGAAGAGGAGGAGGAAACAGAGAGGAGAGGTTCTAGGTTCTGGGGGTCCTAGGCGGCTCTAGGAATACGAAGAGGACGGAAAAGGGGGAGGGGGGGAGAGGGGGAGGTGGAGGAGTAGGAAGGAGGGTGGGAGGGAAGGATTGGGAGTAAGGAGGCGGGGAATACATGTGTTCATTGCCGCCCTTGTTCAACGTCTTCCGGCGACATCATCCATCTCGTCGGACGTAGGCGTCGGTGTCGTTGTCGACGTCGCCGTCTCTCCGCGACGTTGTGATCGTCACCGTCTCTCGGCGTCGTCGTCGTCGTCGCTGTAGCCTCTCGGCGCGGCGCTGCTACCTCCCCCGGGCAGTTCTTAGTCGCTTGGTCGCATTCGCGGAGCCACTTGTTGTGTTCAGTGAAGATCGCCTGGCAATGTCGGCGCTGCTGCGAGCATTCTGGACAGCCAATCCACCTCACCACTCCTCGTCCTTCTCTTTTGCCCGCTCCCGCAGGTCTTTGCGCTCGACGCCCTCGCAATGCCGGCGCGATCGATAGCATACGCTGGCGCGTGCCAGAAGGAGCAGTGGCAGCGGAAGTCCAAGCTCGCAGCTGAGCGCGGCAGGCGTCAGACTGCGACTCGAGCGCGGGGCTTGATGCCCGGCCCCTCGGCACGCGCCACCGAATGCAATCGCGGTTGCCAGAGGACTCGCGCGACTGAGGCTGATGCAGTTTGCAAGGACCAGAGTGACGGGGCCTTGGGACACACAAGCAAATAGACACAAATAACATGATTCCCCATATCTTCTGGGTTCCTGCCTCCCCCCCCACTTCCCATACTTTCCCACATTTTTTATGCTGAATCGGCGATGAATTGTGTCTGTGTGTTCTTGTCCCTCATGAGGGTGCAGAGGAGAAGCATCGCCACGAGGGGCGGGAAGGGGCCCTGAGGGGCACCGAGAGGGGAGGACTGGTATAGGGGGGGACGCATCGACCAGGCATGGGCGACACATCGCCGATAGATCGGCGCGGTAGGACCCCAATAGTGAATCCAGACCTTCCTGTGCAGGCTGGGGCCATCGGGCCCCTATCGGCGATCAATGGGCGATTCGGGGTCGATGCATCCTCCCCTGTGCCTATCCCCCCCTTACAATGCGGGCGCGGCCGCAAAAAACCCTCGCAAGAAACCCAACCCTGAACACCCGCGCGGGGAAACCCGGCCTGAACGCAGCAGCTCCCTCCACGGCCGCGGGAAGCCGCCGCGCATCGCGCGGAGCCAAGAAACCCAGGATACCCGGACGAAAATCAGATGGTCTCTTGATGCGCGCCCCCACTGTATGCCTACCCCCCCCCATCGTTGCCCCTGAGGCCCCCGCGCTGCCGCCTTCGGGCCCCCGCGGTGCGCCCGCAGAGGCTGCCCGGGGGAGGGCCCGGGAGCTCCCGCGCACCGGCCCGAGGCCCCCGCCCCCGGCAGCCCGCGCGCGGGGCGGAGGAGGGCCCCCGCGGTGCGGCCCGCGGGCCCCGCCCCTCCTCCTCCTCCTCCTCCTCCTCCTCCTCCTCCTCCTCCTCCTCCTCCTCCCCCCCTCCCCCTCCTCCCTTCTCCTCCCCCTCCTCCTCCTCCTCCCTCCTCCTCCTCCTCCTCCTCCTCCTCCTCCTCCTCCTCCTCCTCCTCCTCCTTCCCCTCCTCCTGCTCCTCCCTCCTCCTCCTCCTCCCCCTCCCTCCTCCCCCCTCCTCCTCCTCTCCTCCTCCTCCTCCTCCTCCTCCTCCTCCTCCTCCTCCTCCTCCTCCTTCTCCTCCCCCTCCTCCTCCGCCTCCCCCTCGCCAGGCTCTGCCAGTACGCACGACGCACTCAGCAGCGCGCAGTGCTGGACAAAGAGAAAGACACAGCCCAGGATCCCCCAGAGTTTCCCACATTTCCTGGGGTTTCGTCTTCCCCCCCCCCACTTCCCATGTTTCCCCTTATTCTCCTGGGAGTCAACGTTTGTCTGTGTCTGCGTGTGTTTCCCTGCATGAGCGAGATTCCAGGCAACATCTCCCTTCACCGACGGGAGCGACGACAACGATGGCGGCGACCATGCAATCCGACATTGCACAAAAATGCAACGTCGCGAAACAGAAACGACCATCCTCGCGGCATTCTTCCGGGCCCGGTCGACCTGTGCTGCCCCGGAACCGGTCTAAAAAACGTCCGGTGCACGGCGGTTGCGGCGCCCGGTTCTCAGGGGACGGCGGCGACGACGACGGCGAGGTGGTCGACGGCGAAAAACCAGGGCTGAACCCAAAGGGTGTTTCTCGTGTTCGTTTTGATTTCCTTTTCCCTCGTCTTGTCTTACATCCGCCTTGAACGCAAAACGAAAAATCGAAACGAAAAAACGCCCCACGGAATCGCCAAAACATCGTTTGGGTTCACCCCTGTAGGGGGCCACATGTGAACCCTACCCCTACCCCCCACGATTTCTGAGGGGGAGGGTTCGCAGGTGGCCCCCTACCCTGGCGAGAAAGCGGCGAGGCGGTCGCCGCCACGGGGCGACGGCGAGGCGGTCAACGCGGAGGCCCAGGCGGCCGCCCGCCGGCCTGCGCGGGCGCTGCCGGGCCTGCCGCGCCGGTGGCGCCGCCCGCCGCGCCGGGCGGGGGCGGGAAGCAGCCGCGCGCGAGCGCCTGGGCGCGGCGGGTGCGGCCTCCGTCGCCGCCGCCCGCCGAAGCCATCCTCTTGCCGTCGCTCGGACGTCCATTTCCAGTGCATTTGTCGGTTTCGTGCGTGTTTTTGTTGCTCGATGGTCCAGGATGGTCCTCGATGGTTCTCGCCGAGGAAAAATGCACACGTCCGAGCGAGGCCAGTCCTGCACGGCGGCGGCACCGCAAGAGCGCCCGGCCGCGCAGGCGGCGGCGGGCGGCCGCGTCGTCGGCGGCGGCCGAGGGTCGGGGCCACGTCCCAGAAAGAAGTTCGAGCACCCGGAAAAGTGCCAGAAGAGTGTCGAAGCAGTGTCGAAGCAGTGTCGGGCGAGTGTCTCCCCAGGGCCCGACACGTGAAAAGCCTTGAGTTTCGGTACTTTTGGGGGGCGCTCGAGATTCTTCCGGGTGATCAAGGCTAAGGTCGGCTGGAGCATCATAAGGAGAGGAACAGGAAGAAGGCAGACGTACGACTAGGGCTCCCAACTTCGCGCTTCGCGCTGCGCGAAGCGCGAAGCGCGAATAACTTCGCGCTCTCGCGCCGCCCTCCCAAAGGGAGAATAGGAGGACGAGGAGGAGGGGGAGAAGGAACGAGGACCGCGAAGCGCGAAGCGCGAATAACTTCGCGCCCTCGAGGGAGCCCTTGTACGAGCACGAGTTCTCGGAGGCGCACGCGGTTCTCTGGGATCGGCGCTGGACCCACCTCCCTGGCCCGCGCAGCGCGCCAGGGGCGGCGCCATGGGCGCCGCCAGCGGGGGCAGCGCCGACCCAAGAAATCCGCGCGGACCTCCGAGGAAGTGTGTTCATGCTCTTGCTCCTGAGCGACACGCCTGGAGGCTCCCAAGAGGCCCAACAATTCCTCCACGGAGACCCCCGAGAGCCTTCCGAAGAGACCCCAAGAAGCATCCCTGAGGACTCTGGCCCACGTCAGCATCGTCATCGTCCCCGCCGCCGCCGCCACCGTCGTCGCCGACCCGCTTCAAGGTCGGCGGCACCAGCCGTAAAGCCTCCGCAATAGCACGCCTCTTGCCCGGGCCGACCTCCCCTGGTAGCGTCACGATTCGCACTTGTGGATGCCTCTGGGAAGAAGACCTCCGCAAACCTCTGGCTTGCAGGCCCGCCTCCAACTGTCGCGCAAGTGCCCGACGACTATGCAGCTTGAAACTGTTCAAACAAATCGGAGGCTTGGCTTCAATGTGTCCCAGATCTGAATTCCAGTCTCCGAGATCACTGTCAACATTATGGATTGAGCTTTCGCAGATCCGGCATCAATTTCCACATATCCGAGATTGCGTATACGTGTGGTCATACGTACGTCTCCGAAGGAATAGATCTAGCTCAGAGGCGATTATTTGTGACGTCGTCCCTTTCGCGGTGTCTCTGGCTGTTTCGCTCGGGACATTCTCTCAACTCTGAGAACGAGTGACTACACACGCAGATCCCGACCGCAGGGTAAAAAAAGAGTGGATGTTCAACATGTTAACAGAAATGCTTCGAAAGCAACATGGGGTTCAATAGTTTTGCAAATAACTGTTGGTAAGCCAAGAATGATTGAATGCTTCCCGACGTAGTTATTCTGCAGGGTAACAATCAAACATACAATGACAGCCAGTGATGCTGCACCTCACTGTAGAACATGGCATGTCTCGGTTGCTCATGATGTAGTTGTCCGACTTGGCTCTGACCTCCGTTTCTTCGTGCCCACATGGGTGTCTCTCAACAGTTCGTCTGATCGCAGGCTATGGCAACCCAATCGGTGCCCCCCCATTGCTTTTGGTATGAACCTGGGCACGCACTTGCCACTTGTTTTTATCTGCTCGCGTGCCATTCAACACGTATATCCCTCTAAGCTGCTGGAACGTTGTGCCGGAAAGATTCCTGCGACATCTACGCAGAGCGTGCGTTTTGGCCGCAAGCTCGAATCAAGAGAAATGTGCCACCCTGAGCGTTCACAACAACGACCAGGAGAAGCAGAAACGTGCCACCCGAGGCATTCGCTAACATGACGTGTTGGAGGGAGAGGACGAGGATGAGGGGGGGAGGGCACGGCGACGGGCGGGGGAAAAGGACAATCATGACTGCGAGCGTGCAGCTCCTCGAAACGGGGGCCTGGCGCACGATCATGCATACAGAAGTGACCCATATGGCCCCCTCCGGCCTGCGAGCCGCAGCCCCTGACCCAGCCCCTTATGTCCGACATCATGTTCAAGAAACCCGAGATATTCTTTCATTCCGAAGCTTCGATTTTCATACATCCGATACTGCTGTTCATAGACCAGCGATGTATGCACAACTATCTGAAATAGACGTTCGCCAGGGGACATGAGGAATTACACCAGCGGGAGGGAGAATTCACCAGAGGGGTCAGGAGAAAGCACCAAGGCGGAGGTGGTAAGCACCAGGGGAATATACAACTCTGGGAAGGCGCAGACACCAGAGGTGATAAGATATCAGGGGGAGACATGAGAAGGTAATATTGGAGAGGGAGAAAGCCAACAGGAGGATGGAGAAGACAGAGGGGGATAGCCAAAGCATCAGGGGGATAGAGACACACCAGAAGGGAAAGAACGGGAAGCAGTGAAAGCGAAACGGATGATGAGGCTTAGTGGGGGCGGAGCAGGCGAGTCAGAGGACGAGCCGGGCAAGGGGGAGAACGACCCGTGATCCCCGAGGAAGAGGACGAGAGAGCATGGATGGGGAGAGGAGGGAGAAGGATGAGGGAAGGCTTTAGACGGAGGCAGGAGCAGGAGGCTGCGGGCGCCCCGCCGCTCGCCGCCCGCACGCGAGCGCTGGCCATCGGCCCGTCTCATGCGACGAGCGCGGCGGCCAACGCGGCGGCCTACACGCGGTGGCCTGCGCGGACCAGGCAGGCCCTCCTCGGGGGCCCTCCGCCGACCCCTCCCTCGCGGGGCGAGGGGCCGGCGCCCCAGGTCGCGCCGGGCCCCGCAGCTTTGGGCGGTGCACGCGGAGATCCTGGAGAGGCCCCCTGGAGGGCCCCCAGAGGGCCCAAGACGCCTCCTCCTCCTCTTCCTCCTCCTCCTCCTCCTCCTTCTCCCTCTCCCTCCTCCCTCTCCTCTTTTTGTTCTTCCTCCGTTCCTCCCCCAGATGGGAGGCAGGAGGCGGCGATGGTTCGCCGTAGTCGTCTTCGACACTCATCCACATCTGCCTGCTCTTCTGAAATCCTGCGCATCTTGCTCATTACGATCATGCGCCTGCAGCCAATCATGTTCTGGCTCCTCATGGTCGACGTTACCCTTCGCCTCATGTCAGCAGCATCACCCTCACCCTCCCATCAGTTTCATTTTCCTCCTGATCCCCTTATTTAGTCAGAACCATCCACCTTATCATTGTCCTGTTCCTCATCATGGTCCCCCCTTGCTTACACTTCCCCATCATGCCCTCCCCTTGCCTAATATTCCTCATCCACCCTCATCAGCATCATTCAATGGATGCCCTTTCTCCTCGTGTAGATTATCATCATGGCCTTCCCCATCATCATGACCCTTCCCTTCATCTTGATCGTACTGATCATCATGCTCAGGATCATGCTCATCATTCGACTCCTCATCATCGTCGCCCTCCTCCTTCTCGTCCTCCTCCTCACCGGCACAAACACCTTCTTCCTCCTCCTCGTCGCGCTCTGAAGACAAGGCCCGAAGGCCGAAGCATCAGGACAAAAACATGTTTTGATTCGCGGGTCGAGAGCGCACCTCTTCCGGTCGAAGCTAAGCGGGCCGCGCGAAGCTTGAATTAACCAGAGATGGGGGAGGAAAAGGGGGCGCAGCCTCAGAACGAGGCCGGGATGAGGCAAAGCCTCGGGATCAGGCGGTGCCGTAGCCGACGTACTTGCAAAGACACATCACGACGCAAACATCCCGAAGAGTTCGGCCCCGCTGGACCTCTCCGGCGTCCCCCCCCGGCCTCCGAGCGGCGTCTGGCTGCTGCGAGGAGGCCCTCCAGAAGCACCCCATGTGTTCCCTCGAGGCGGACAAGCATCCAGGACGAGGAGGAGGTGCATCTATGAAGGGGCCCCAGGACACACAAATAAATACACACAAATAAACAGATTCCCAATATTTTCCCATATTTTCTGGGTTTCTGTCTTCCCCCCACTTCCCATATTTTCCCATATTTTCGGGGGAATCGAGGATTAATTATGTCTGTGTGTTTTTTCCTCTCCTGAATCTAGACCCCCGACGCCATGCGTTTCTGGTAGACGTAGGCAGGCCCCTGGAAATCTGGACCCCTTTTCCAAGGCACCCCGAGCAGCCTTCTGTTTCCCATCCACGAATCGATGACAACGAGAAGTCAATCTCGGTGCCCGCGGTTGTTCATGGCCGACTTTATGTGGACCACCTTCCTTTTACTGCACTTCGATGCTGCAAGAGCGTGAAACGAATGAGCGGGAAAGAGGCCGAAAGGAGGAGGAGGAGGAGGAGGACCAACCCATGACGCATCAACGATTTTGCAATCGACCACCCATCCAACTTCTCTCTCCATAGGTCCCTATTAAGATTCATGTTCATGGCGGCAAATGGCCCAGTCAAGGACAACCGTCAGAAAATGTTCGAATGCACCGAAACACCATTCTTGGAACTTCAACGCCGCTGATCAACGTGACAATTGCGTCCTGACAGTCCCACATCGTGCCAAATGGCCATTCCTGCGACTTCATCACCGCGAGTCAACATGTCTGATGCAACCTGGCGATCCTGCATCGTACCAAAACGCCATGCCTGGGACTGAAACCGCGTGAACCCTTAAAACTGCCGTCAACTTCTACGACGATGCGCGTGGGCGCGAAGGCGAGGGCCCCGTTTTCAAAAAATGAACTGCCCTCCCCTGGCCATCGCAAATCTCCCTGAAGCCAAGTCCCTCCTTGAAGCTGCCGCAAATCTTGGCCCTTCGAGGGGGCCTCTGCGGCCCGAGGAAGGCACCAGTCTTCCCCCACGACTATCGCCCCCCATTGCGCTTAGGCCGGGCATGCCCTCCTGCAGGCCGGTTTTTACCGGCCTCGAACGTATCCCTATCCCTAAGATTGACACGCTAAAAGGCGATGACAATCTTAGGGATTCGCCCTCAAAAAATGAGGGTACCCCTAAGATTGGCATCGTGATGAGGAGGTGCCCAGCATAGGGATAGGGATATGTTCCAGGCTGGTAAGTTTTGGAAGAACGATGAAAAGTAGTCCAAACATATTGTCCACAAAAATCGCCCCCAGACGACTTCAGAACTATTTTCGAGCATTCCTCCCGTGGAGGGACACGCCCGAGTCAGCATCACGCGACGCCCAACCAGCAACCACGACCTCCGCGCCGGCGGGCGCGCGGCGCGGCCGCCTCCGCTCCGAGGGCGCCGGGGGCGCCGGAGTCGGCGTCGCCTCCCGCTGCCTGGCCCGGCGCGGACGGGGTCCGAGGCTCTGGGAGGAGCTGGGCGCGTGAGGGCATGCGTACTCAGGATTCCATAATAGAAGTGGGGGGGGGGGGTCACATTTGGGGGGGGTCTGATTTGACCTGTCTTGGAGGGTTCGGGGGGGTCTGGGCAAAGGGCCGCCCTTGCATGGATGGCCTGGGGGGTCAAAAAACTTCTCGTCTGGGAGGGTTGTGACCCCCTCCCGTTTATCACGAAAACTGGAGTGCCCAGAGATCCGACGCTCAACAACGAATTGGAGCGGCGGGCTTTGGGCCGTCGTCGGCCTCCGGGGGGCCCTCGCGGGGCCTCGGGACCGTTAAGAGACGACTCGGGACGAGAAACCATCCCTAGGGAAAAATTTCCAGACCTCCAAGGCCCACGCATCGAAATATTTGGAGCGGCTGGATGACTGGGTGCTGCAGTTATCACCGTGCTACCATACAGTGCGGGCGCGGCCACAAGGAACCCTCGCACGAAACCCAACCCTGAGAACCCGTGCGCGAGGTGCACCTGAGGGGAAACCTGGAGCACCCTGAACGCATCAGATCCCTCAACGGCTGCGGAAAGTCATCGCGAAGCGCGAGGAGCGAAGAGGCCCAGGGCACCCTGACGGAGCGCAGACGGTTTCTTGATGCACGCCCCCACTGTCCTCCTCCTCCCCCTCCCCCTCCTCCTCCTCCTCCTCCTCCTCCCTCTCCCCCTCCCCCTCCTCCTCCTCCTCCTCCTCCACCTCCTCCTCCTCCTCCTCCTCCTCCTCCTCCTCCTCCTCCTCCTCACGAAGGGGCCTCTCCGATCACGGCGAGCCACGGCCACGAGGCAGGTCCGTCGGCCTGGGCCTACGACACAGCCCGAGCATCTCGGCCCCTCCTGAGCCCGAGGCGGCTCTCACATTTGAACGTCTGCGCTGCAGTACTACTGGGGGCTCCCCATTTGGGGCGAAAGATCGCGCCTCCTGAGCTCGAGGTGGCTCTTCTGAGCTCGAGGCGGCTCTTATATTTGACCGCCTGCACTGCAGCACTTAGTGGGCCCTGGAAACGACAGGGCCGTTGTTTTACCGGTTCCGTTCTGCCGTTTTGTTCCCGGTTCCGACGCCGTTTTTTTACCGGTTCCGTCGCCGTTTGTTGACCGGTTCCGGCTCCGGTTCCGATCCTGGAGCCGTTTTTGTTGCCGTTTCCCGTCGCAGTTTTTTTTGCCGTTTCCATTTTCAAGGGGCATTTTTTGGGAAACGGTGAGAAAACGGCCCTGCCGTTTCCGGGGCCCACAAAGCTGTAGTACTACTAGGGGCCTCCCCATCTGGGGCGAAAGATCAAACCCGCATCGGCGATGCGCTGCCGATGCACAAGCGATGCATCGGCGGCGTCGGCGACGCATCGGAGCCGCCGGCGAGGAGCAATCCGGGCGTCACGTCAAGCCGCATCGGCGATGCGTCGGCGACGCTGCGCGATCCTCCGACCCCGCTTGCCGTCGTGGACCGAGGCCTCCTGCAGCGCCGCTGGCCGCGCTGGGCCTCCGGAGGCCTCCAAGGACCTCCGCAACATGGACTCCCGCCACCTGGCAGGGCCCAGACATCCTCCTCCTCCTCCTCCTCCTCCTCCTCCTCCTCGATCCTCCTCCTCCTCGGTCTTCCTCGAGCCTCCTCATTGTTGTGTCTCAGTATATATCCTCCTCCTCCTCCTCGATCCTCCTCCTTATCCTCTTCCTCGATCCTCCTCCTCGTCCATCTCCTCCACCTCCTCCTCCTCCTGCTTGATCCTCCTCCTCGTCCTCCTCCTCGTCCTCGTCGTCGTCGTCCTCCTTCTCCTTCTCGTCCTCGTCCTCGTCCTCCTCCTCGTCCTCTTCGATCCTCCTTCTCGATCCTCTTCCTCGATCCTCCTCCTCGAGCCTCCTTGTCCGCCTCCCTCCTCCGCTTCAATCCTCCCTGTGCTCCTCGGCCGCGTGCCCGAAAGCTTCGGGCGGCAGCCAACGCGGTGCCCCGCTCTCGGGAGGGCGTCCGCGCTCCCGGGCCAGAGCATCTACCTCTCGGTCGGGCACGACCTCCTACAGGCGGATTTGGGGAAAAAATCAAGCAGGCAAACAAACAATCGCCACCAGACTATGAGTTAGCATTCTTGAATAGTCCTCCTGTAGAGGGACGTGCCCGACTTAAACATGAAAAACTACCTTCCACGTCCCATGTCCACTCACCTCGTACATGTCTTTTTAATTTGCATCCCCGGGTCAAGACGAAGCCAGGGAGAAGATCAATTCGGGTGAGGAAAATCGAGAATCTCTGAGATCCGGCGGCTCTGGAAGATGTATCGGGCGCCGCGCCCTTCTCATAGAATTCCGGAACGCTCTGGAACGGACTTATCCTCGTCCTAGCCCCGTCCGACCGGTGTCAGGTTCGCACTTCGTAATAGAAGGGAGGAGGTCCGCCCACCCCAGACCAGCCATGTAAGAGCGGCCTCTTGCCCAGACCCCGCGGAACAATACAAGACAGCTCAAATCAGACCTCTAAAACAAATCAGGCCCCCCTGGTTATCATGAAATTCGGAATGCCACTACATCCACATCGGTACGCAACACCACCGCGACCATCACGACGTCCACCCTGCTCTGGGAGCCAGGAATGCACACACGCACGTCTACGCTTTACTCAGAGTTGCACGTCTACGCTATACTCAGAGTTGCAGCCGCACGACAACTACTTCACGAGCACGTCACGGTGCAGAGCAACCACCGCGACCTGCACCACTAGCTCCCACAATGGCGGCACCATGGGGAGCCATCGAGAGCAGGCCATGGATTCGAACACCAGAAATGGGTACGGAATAAAAGTGTGCGATGCCCAAGAACGAATGGGCCGCTGTTGGGCGGGCGGGCGGCCTTCTGCCTCTCGTCGAATGGACAATGTCCGCGGCGACGCAGACAGCGAATCCTTCTCAAAATGAGCAGTAAAAACCTGTCGATCCTCGATCCCATTGTTTCCGTACGCATGTCGATCGTCCCGAACCGAACACATCACCGCCATGGAGATCAACCTCGAGCCGCAGACGCACCAAGCGAGGGAGGCCTCCAACGCGCCAAGGCTGAGCCCGCGAGATCGGCGCAAGTGTGGAACGGTGGAGGCAAGACAAACATGGGCCGCACATTAGGCAACCCAACACGCCGATACCTCGGGGATCTACTGACCCGGGTCCAGCCAAACTAGGGTCAGTCGGGCCTTGCAGGATCCTGCAAAATCCTGCAGGATCCTGCACGCAAGCCCGGGTCAACGCACCCCTGGCTCTGCAGTATCCTGCAGAATCCGGCGCTCTGGCTGATCCCCGTTTGCACCCAGTCTCTTGAGCCCCGAATGCCTGATGGAACAAGGTCGCCAGCAAGAACACCAAAGACACCAACGGCACAGGGAAGGGCAGCGTCCCCAAGCCGTACGACGACTACATCGAGGACGCCAACCAGCCGCAGAGGGGCAAGAACAAGGAGGAGAAGGGCGGTGGCAACACCCACACAAGAGAAGAACATCGCAGCCAAGAAGAAGCAGATGTAGTCCAAGAGGGACTACAACGACCACCTCAGCAACATCATCAGTAACGTCATGCCCATGCGCAAAGTCTACGCAACCAGAAGGCACGAGTGGGAGGCATCACCCAACGACCCAAACCTCAGAAAGGAATAACAAGAAAGTCAAGACAACTGAACAACGGCAAGCAACAGTCGCGATCATGAAGGCAAGCGCCGCTGGCCTAACCACTACAGACGCAGAAGCACAAATCACCTTCATCAAAGCGATGATCATCAGCAACAATCCCCTTCCCCAGCAAGCCAGGGAGATCAACCGCAACAAGCAGACCATGGAGGACCACTACGAGTACACCAAGGCGCAACACAAAGAAGTCGACACATATCTGGTCGCACAGGATGCAAAGATCAACGAGCTGAACATCCTCCACAGGGACATCAGCTTCGCGCGGGACGACGCATAGAACGAGATTGGTACAGCAGACGACCAGGCAGACGCCCCACAAAGAGACGGTGCCCAGAAGAGGAACCCCACAGCAACATTAAGAAGGCAAACCAGTGCCGGGGAGACAAGGGAGGGCCAAGAGGTTGGAACGCTACTCCAGGCCCTCAAGGAGGAAAACCAACGCCTCGTTCAAGACGTAACGAACAACATAAGCGAGGCCAAGGAGGAGGTCGACAACCTCTAACGCAACGACAAGGGGAACGAGAAATCGAGAAAGAAATGGGCGACAGAACTACAGGAGCTACAGTGGCAACTCCGAGGATTTGAAGAGACAGCACAGCATGCAGCAAAGCAAGCACAGCACTACCAGAACGAGCTGAGGACGCTGACGAATGCCACGATCACAACCGAGAAGGAGGCGGCCTACCACGAATACATTCAGACTAAGGCGGCGGCTACACTGCAGAGGGCGGAGGAACTCGAAACCACAATGAGACACAACAACCGCAGCTGAAAGGACGACCTCGCTCGCCGCCGACATACACACTGAGCTGAGACAGGCGCAGCGAAGACTCGCTGAGTCAGACACCGACCACAGGGACCGCCGACACCAGCTACGACGCAGTGAAAAGACAACCGACGAACTGGAGGTGTACTACAACAGAATGCGAGAGGCAGAGCAACACATCTCCCTCATCGAGGCGCAGAGGACCAACGATGTCGGCGAGCAAATTCCGCTGCGCAACCACTGGCGGGATTCCGACCACCTGCTCCGCGACGGCTACCTCGAGATGCAAGAACCAGGAGAAGCGCATCGAGGCCACCATCCAGAGCTCACAGGAGTACCAATAGAGGGTCTCCGACATCTGCAGGATCGTACGAGCCAAGGTTGCTGAACCAGCCCAACAACATGTGAACACCAGATCTAGGGGATACTCGTGGGCATGAGCAGCTACCAGGAGCAAGCTCAACAACACGCAGCCGATGCAGACAGCAGACAGCCAACTAAACTTGGCACTGCAACGAACGGAGATCCGCACGACAGAACGTAAAGAAGCTCACCAATACGAGATCCAGGCATACCAACCGAAAGAGGAAACTTGGAGAGAATTGACGGCCATACAGGAAAGGCGCACCGAGGAGGCGACCCAATAATATTTCGACGCACGACAAGCAGCGTCTCAAGCACAACAACGCCTCGACAACGTGGGGATAGTGGACACCATCGAGAAGGTCCTGACCACCGAGATCCCCAACGACGAGGAGGAGATCAACGGATTCCTGCAACTAATTGCACCCATGGCTTCACAAGATACCGTGCCAGGGTTGACTCAACCCTCACAAGCTCAAAGCGACCGAGTAGCACGAGAGGATGGCACATGAGGAGCAACCGCATCACCTCCAACACAAGACGAACACCATCACTTTCACCCGTCCACTCCGAAAAGGGGACGTCGCACTCCGAACACGACACACGACGCAGATGGAGACGAGCTCCCACTAGGAAGTCAAGAATGCGGCACGCCTGCACGACAAATGCCCAACGCATGGATGACGGGATCGATAACGGCAAGGCAACCCGACCGACCGACAGACCCCAGCATGAGGGGCCACCCGAACGTCGTGTTGATCGACACCGCGTCACCCAAGACAAAGCGGGACGACGGCCTCAGCACCGCAGAGGAAATGCTCCCCCCGCCCCGATCGCCGCGCAGGATCTTTCTTGGCACTCCAGGCTGGGACTCTTCTCTACCACCACTACGCAAACATGCAGCACCATCAACTCGAAACTCCAGCGCAAGGAGGTCAAGGAAGGCCCCCATCGACCCCAAAAAGCCCACCATAGCCCACCGATGCACACGTTGCATGCAGCGACGACGCGGCCCCATCATCGGGGGCTGCGTCGGGACCCTACTGACGGTCTCAGGGCAGCGCGATGTTGGATAACAATCGCGCTGCTTGAGGTGAGTCTGGAGCTCCACGCACCACAGGCGTACACCCGGAGACGGGTCCACCCCACCGCAAGGGGCACCTACCTAGCGGTATGATTCGACTGGAAGGACCACGGTGCCACCCTAGACAGGGTCCTGTGACTGTACCGATCAGGCGGTATGCAAAGCACGTCACCAGGCCTCCGATTCAGGGTGGCGGATTGCTGGACGGCGCAGTGCAAACACGACGATCGCATTCTCCACCACTGGCTGCAACGCCAGCGAGCACCGACGAGCCCGACGCAGCACGGAGCGGCGGCCAAGACTGAGCTGGCATGCGAGGAGGATGAAGGGGCCCTGGGACACACAAATAAATACACACAAATAACAGGATCCCCCATATTTTCCTATATTTTCTGGGTGTCTTCCCCCCCACTTCCCATATTTTCCCATATTTTCCTATATGTTTAGGGGAGTCGACGATTAGTTGTGTCTGTGTGTTGCTTTCCCTCCTGAGAGGAGTACGTACAGGATGAGGGATGCCCACTCCGACCTCTACGGCAGCTTGGCAGACAACCTGCGGAGACGGATACGAGTCACAGCTGCGGCATCGACAGCGTATCATGCCCGACATCGGGAACAAGCGGAGCCGAACCAATACAGGCACCACCTATCCAGGTCCAACTCGGACATGGCCAGCCTGAGGACGAAACCTGCTCTGATCGAGAGGAGCTACCACAGGAAGGCCTACCTCAGGGAAAACAGACGAGAGAAGCGGTTCTATTTACCTTCACGGTGGCAGAACCGATTGCTGAAGACTGGCCACATGTCCAGCTCGGCTTCGCCTCCCACTGTCTGGCGGGACCCCGACTCCTGCTCCTGCTCCTTCTCCTCCATCTCCTCCTCGGTCGGTCGGGTACTGTCAACTTCAAATCAAATGTGGCCGATTCGAACCTTGCGAACTCAAGCAACAGTGGAGGGTGACGCGCAGCGCAGCACAAGCCTCCCCTCTGGCCAACACCACCGTCCGTCGACGCCTCCGCGATGCCATCAGGGGAGGAAGGTAATTATCAAGGGGGACCCCGGAGGCCTCTGCAGCAGCTTCCAACTCCTCCTCCCTCCTCTTCCTCCTCCTCCTCCTCCTCCTCCTCCTTGAGCAGGGACCGACCGTCCCGGCATTCCTATAGGCCTACCACGACATGTTGTTAGAACCAAAAAATGGTCTAAGAACAACAACCATGTTCTTAGAACAGAAACCCGATGTGCAAAACACGCCAGTCCCTAGCAGCAATGTTCCAAGAACACTGCCTGGAAACCAAAACAAGGTTCTCAGAACATTCCTTGGTGGGCCTCTAGGCGAGCCGGGACGCTTCGTCACTGCTTGATCCTCCTCCTCCTCGACGCCAAGACTGACAACCTACCAGAGCAGCCCAACCCAACCCGAAGACCCGAATTTCGGGTTGGGGGGGTCACGGGTTCTGTGTGTGTTTTTTCAACGTTCCTCGAACCCCCCCTACTGGAAATGGAGGGCAAATCGAGGCTGTCGGCTTAAAACATAGACCCGATGTGCAAAACAAGCCAGTCCCAAGCAGAAATGTTCCAAGCACATCGCCTGGAAGCCAAAAAAAAGGTTCTCAGAACATTGTTTGGTGGGCCTATAGATCGGCGAGCCGGGACGCGTCGCCACCGCTTGCTCCTACTCCTCCTCCTCCTCGACGCCACGACGGGCGGACGCAGCTCGGCACACCGGCCCGAGCTACCCCGCGGGCGCCCTCGCCCGCTCACGAGCTCCCCCCGCGGACGCGAGGCCGAGCCACGGCCCCCCCCCCGCGCGGTCGGCCCCACGGCGGCGCCCGCGGGGGACCGCGCGGGGCCTCCCAGTCGCCGAGGAGCTCGCGCAGGGTGTCGCGGAGCTCCTGGGCCGGCGGCAGGCGGAGGCGGCGGCAGAGGCAGCGACCGCCACCACCACGACGACCCCAACGACGGCCACGGCCACGTCGACGACGACGACGACGACGAGGAGCAGGACGACGACGACGACGAGGAGCAAGACGAGGACGACGACGATGACGAAGACGACGACAACGAAGACGAGGACGAGGACGAGGACGAGGACGACGACGACGACGAAGACGGGGACGAGGACGTGGACGAGGACGCGGACGAGGACGACGACGATGACGACGATGACGTGGACGACGATGACAACGACGGAAGCGACGACGACGCAGACAACGACGACGAGGAGGGTGACGAGGGCGACGACGCAGTGCAGGATAACGGCGACGATCGCGAAGGAGGAGGAGCAGGAGGAGCAGGAGGAGAAGTCCCGGTTTGAGACACATCGTCGTTGAGGACTCCGGAAATTTGCACCGGTGGTCTAATCAGTTGATGCAGCGCGATCCACCGTCGCTGGCCGGAACACATTCTCGGAGGAGGTGTCTGAGACCAAGGGACTCGTCCCCTCCAAGAGAAACCCTCGGGCGGGGTCACAAACCAAGGCCCCTCCCCCCGAATCTCCCCCCGACCTCCCCTATTATAGTCTCCCCTACTCTATCATACTCGACCCTACTCTCCCGTACACTACCCTAGCATGCTCTACTCTTCTTTGTTCCTACTCTACTCAGCTCTTACTCCACTCTACCCAGCCCTGCTCCATGGAATTCTGCTGTACTTACTCATCAACTCGTCTAGATTCGACTATACTCCTTTCTACTTTGCTCTACATCTCCCTGCTCTTGCTCACTCTACACTGCGCTATCGCATCCCAACCGACTCTTCTCGACCCTATTCTACCCGAGTGTACATCTATTACACTATACTCATACCCTACTCTACTCTGGTCGTCGTCGTCGTCTTCGGCGTCGGCGTCGTCGGCGTCGGCGTCGGCGTCGACGTCGTTGTGCGTCGTGCATCGCGCGTCGTGCGTCGCACGTCGTGCCTCGTGCCTCGTGCGTCGTGCGTCTTGCGTCGTCGTCGTCGTTTTCGACGTCTTTGCCCTGGTGCCCGAGAGGGAGGCGGAATCTTGGACGCCCCAGATAAGTGTTCAAGGGGATGGGGGGTCCGAAACCCTCCACGCCTTGCTTGGAGGGGGGAGGGGGAGTTTGAGCTCCGCCCCCCTCTGCCAGCAACGGCAGAAAGCAGTCTTTCAAACGTGTCGCACTCTGTGGGTCAAGAACGCATTCCAAGCTCAAGAGAGGCGCCATTCGTGTGAGAAGTGCGCGCCGGCATGTAAAACGAAGCCGGGACGAGGATAATGTCGGGTGAGGGTAAATCGGGAACCTCTCAGATCCCGCGGCTATGGAGGATGTGTCTGGCGTCGCGGCCTCCTGCGAGCGTTCCGGAACGCTCTGCAAGCGTTCCAGAACGCTGTGGGACGGATGTGTCCTCGTCCTGGCTCCATCCGGAAATGGGCCAGTGCACGCCGGGGACACACCGAGCCCACGGACGACGGACGCCAGGCGCCGAGTTCCACGGGCCGGGTCCCGGACGCGGAGATTTGGGCCGAGGTCCTGGGGTCTGGTGGTTCGCTGGTCCGCTGGCAGGCGTTTCCTGAACTTCTCTGCCTGTCTGCCTCTGTCTTGTTACACGTCGGCAGCAAACTCTACATTTCCCGCACCCCTTTGCGTTGCCATGCGAGGGGCGGAGTGAAATTGTGTTTTGTTTCGCCCCTCTGCATTGCCATATGACGAGCCGAGTGGAATCGATGATTTCCGCCCCTCTGCATTGCCACGTGACGGATCGACTAGTATTGTATTTTCTCCGCCCCCTTGCGTTGCGACGTGACGAAAACAGTGGGATGATCCCACTGCGTTGCCTCGCGACTGGACAAATAGTTAAAACGTTGTTTTCGTTTTCCCCCTGAATTGTGACGTAGCGAACATAATGGAACAAGATGTGTTCTGCTCCCCTGCATTGCCGCGTGACGAACTGGAGTAGAATAGCAAGTCATCGTCCCCCCTGCGATGGCACGTGATCAAGAGAGTGGGATAATATGTGTTCGTCCCCTTGCGTTGCTACGCGCCAAACAAGCTGAAAACTAATGAATGATACCGGAGAAAAAAACAATGGGTTATAGGGCTATTGAGCTATAGGGCTAGGGGGCTATAGGGCTGTAGAGTTGTAGGGCTATAGGGCTATTGGGCTATTGGGCTATAGGGCTGTAGGGCACCCCCGGGCACCCCCGGGCACGCCCGGGCACCTGGGCACCCCTGGGCGTGCAGCGAAAATCGGCGACAAACCTAACCCAACCATATGAATCCGCTAGGACCCCTGCAGAGGCAAGCTCTGATCGACGTGATGGGGTCTGGGCCCCTCGGCCCTCCTCCAAGGGACTGGAAAGGTGGAAGGCACACCCACCGACAGCCATAGAAATCGTCCTCCCTGGGGGTGGGGGAGAACGAGACGGGAAGGGGAAGAGGGAGGAGGGAGAGGGAGAAGGGGGAGAGTGGGGGAGGTGAGGAGGAGAGGCCCTGCGTTGAAAAACGCCCGCTCCCTCTCGTGGAGGCGGGCAGTGGGGGAGGTGAGGAGGAGAGAGCCTGCGTTGAAAACGCCGGCTCCCTCTCGTGGAAGGCGTTCCCTCTCGTGGAGGTCGGCCCCCTCTCGTGGAGGGCGGCTCCCTCTCATGGGGGGCGGCCCCCTCTCGTGGAGGGCGGCTCCCTCTCGTGGAGGGCGGCAGGGCGGCTCCCTCTCGTGGAGGGCGGCTCCCTCTCATGGAAGGCGGTTCCCTCTCGTGGAGGGCGGTTCCCTCTCGTGGAGGGCGGCTCCCTCTCGTGGAGGGCGGCTCCCTCTCGTGGGGGGCAATGGGGAAGGTGCGGAGGGGAGGGCCTGCGTTGAAAACGCAGGCTCCCTCTCGTGGAGGGCGGCTCCCTCTCCTGGAGGGCGGCTCCCTCTCCTGGAGGACGAGGAGGGAAAGCAGGATGAAGAGGAGGAGGAGGGGGAGCAGGAGGAGGAAGAGGAGGAGGAAGAGGAGGAGGAGGAGGAGGAGGACGAGGACGAGGAGGAGGCTCGGAGGCGCCCCTGGGAGGCGGAACCCCTCGCGCGGCGGTCTCCCGCAGGCTGTCCTCGCCCTGCGCCGCCTGGCGGGCTCGGCGCGCCCGCGGGCGTGAGCAATTCAACTGCCGACGGCCACCGCGCGGCTGTCAGCTTGGGCCCAGGGGCGCACAAACAAACAGGCGCAAATCCCAGGATACCTCATGGTACCCCATCTATATATATATATAAGAGAGAGAGAGAGAGAGAGAGAAACAAAAAAAGAGAGAGAGAGAGAGAGAAAACAAAAACAACAAAAAATGAGAGAGAAAGAGAGAGAGAGAGAGAGAGAGAGAGAGCGTGACCCACCGCCGCTTTCCTACAGAACATCCCCCCCTTTTTATCCGGAGCCCGGGGGTCCCCCTCCTTCTCTCCGATAATCCCCCCCCCCTGCTAAACCCCCCCGCCCCTCTCCCCCGGCAAACCCCTCCCCACTAACCCCCCCCCTCCGAAAAACCAAGGGGGGGCCACTTGTGGTTCGAACCACCACCACCCTCCGGAAAACCAGGGGGGTCACTACCGGTTCGAACCCCGTCCCCCCCCCTCCCGAAAACCAAGGGGGGTCAGTACTGGTTCGAACCCCTCCCCCCCCTCCAGAAAAAAGGGCGGGGGATTCTCAAGTGGCGGTCTACGGCATCCCATTTCTCAAAAACCACATTCTCGCCTCGGCGCCGCGCGCATTAAAACAAATGGCATTATCGTGTCGACGTTGCGCATATTTGTTGGTTCAAATGTTGTTTTTTGTTCATGGGGGATGGGTGGTGGCGTGTCGTTTGCGTATTTCTCATGTCGGCTCAGTATCAACGCTCTGCCTTGAGGACCCCCATTGGCATTGCATGGCTTGGTTTGGCATAGGACTTGCGCTGCAGCATTGTGTCGGCAGTGCGCTGGCCTTGCGCTTGGATTGCGCTGGCGACTTCCGTTGAAACCTCGACAGAAGGAGTTTGATGAATCCCGCCATAAGAAGATCTCCAAGTACCCCCTCACCGCAATACCAAATCATATGGAATCCTGAACCAGAAGGATTCCTATGTTCAGCCCCTTTTCCCCACGCACACACACACACAAAAGGATTCCTAACCAAGTCCTCCACATAATATTCGGATCTAAATCGTCCACAGAAGGGTTTCTAGTTAAATACGGGAAAAAGGAATCAATATCATCCGTATCGAATCGCAGTGAATCGGGATTGGCATACAACGACCACGTGCTGGCATTGCACTGGCATCGGCGCGGACTTGCATAGACTTGGCAGAGCAGCGGCATGTTGACCTCCTCCACAGAAGGCTCGTACTGAAATCCTCCATTGCAGGATTCCTAGATCAATTACCCACATAAGCATTACCACTGAAATATAGAGGGCAACATACTCATTGGCGTTCCTTGGCATTGCAACGGCCTTGCGCTGGCAAAGCGCTGGCGTAGCATAAGCATTGCCTTGGAATGGATTTGGCATTGCACCACGTTTGAGGCCCGTCGTAGACGGATTTCTATTGAATTCTTCAGAAGATTCCTACCGACATCCTCCATAGCTGGATTCCTAGCTCTGTCCTCCACACAAGGATTACGATTGCACGATAGAGAAAAGGATGCATTGGTGCCTTCTGGCATTGACTTGGCCTTGCGCTGACAGAGCGCTAGCATAGTGCAAGCATTGCCTTGGCTTCGACTTGGCACTGCATTTCTCTTCAAACCCTTCATGCAGGGATACCGATTGAAATTCTCAGCAGAAGGACTCTTCCTGAAACCCTGTACCCCTATAATGGGATTCTTAGCTCAATCATCCACAGAAGGTTAGCCAATGGAATATAGAAGGACAAGTATTCATTGGCGCCCCTTGGCATTGCATTGGCCTTCCACTGGTAAAGCGCTGGCACAGCACAAGCCCTGCCTTGGAATTGCCTTGGCACTGGACCCTTCCCGAAGCCCAGCATCCAATGATTCCCATTCAATTCCTCCGCATAAAGGGGCCAACTGAACTCCTCCATGACAGGATTTCTGGTTCAGTCCTCCACATAAGGATTACTATTGTAATCTTTGTTAAAGCGTTGTGTGGTGCCCCTGGGCATTGCATTGGCCGTGCGCTGACCTAGTGCTGGCATAGCACAGGCATTGCCTTGCAATCGACTTGGCCCTGCATTTCGATTGGGGCCCTTCGTACAGGGATACCTATTGAATTTCTCAGCAGAAGGACTCTTACTGAAACCCTCTATAGCACGATTCCCAGTTCAATCATCCACATAAGGGTTTCTATTGAAATGTAAAAGACAAGGGTTCTCTGGCGCCCCTTGGCATTGCATTGGCCTTGCGCTGGAGCGGCGCTGGCACAGCACAAGCATTGCCTTGGCATTGCGGTGGCAGGCATTCCCATCGGAACCCTGCATATCGGGAATCTAATTAGATTCCTCCGCAGACGGTTCTTACTGACACCCCAGAAGTAGGATTCTTAGTTCAATCGTCCACTGACGGGTTTTTATTGGCATATGGGACACCTCGTCACTGGTGCCCCTTTTGCATTGCATGGCCTTGCGCTGGCACAGCGCTGGCATAGAGCAAGCATTGCCTTGGACGCGAAGTGCATGGTATTCCTCTTGAAACCTTCATATAAGGATTCCTATTACATTCCTCCTCAGATGGCCCCCATTGAAATCCCCCACAGCGGGAGTCATATCACATTCCCCAACAGAAAGCTCCTTTCGAAACCCTCTATATCAGGATCCATAGTTCAATCATCCACATAAGGTTTCCCGCTGAAGTATAGAAGAAAAGGGTTCACTGGTGCCCACTGGCATTGCATGGGCCTTGCGCTGGCAAAGCGCTGGCACAGCACAAGCATTGTCTTGGGATTGCGGTGGCATGCATTCCCCTTGAAACCTTGCATACCAGGAATCTAGTGAAACTCCTTCACATAAGGTTCTTGCTGAAGCCCCGAAAGCAGGATTCCTAGTTCAATCATCCACATGAGGATTTCTACTGAAACATGGAACAACGACTCACTGGTGCCCCTCTGGCATTGTATGGCCTTGCGCTGGCAACGCGCTGGCATAGCACAAGCATTGCCTTGGACGTGAATTGCACGGCATTCCACTTGAAGCCCTTCATCGAAGGATTCCTATTACATTCCCCCTCGGACGGCTCCAACTGAAACCCCCCATAGCAGGACACCTATTCAATCATCCACATAAGGATTTCTATTGAAACATCCATGGGGGAAAACAAGGTTCATTCCTTTCGCGTTGGGTAGCGTTGAAAGGGGATTGACATTGCACTGGCCAAGTGTTGGTGTTGCACTGACACGGTGCTGTCGACGCATTGGCACGGACATGGCGTAGAATTGCATAGCATTGGTGTTCCTTGGCGTTGCATTGGCCTTGCGCTGGCAAAGAGCTAGCGTACTGGAGCCCTCCGCAAACAAAGATTTTGATTGAAAGCCCTCCGCATAATGATTCGCACTGGAAACCTCCACAGGAAGGCGGCATAGCATTTGTGCCCCTTGGCGTTGTGATGGGCCTTGGCGCTGGCAAAGCGCTGGCACAGCACTGTCAGTGCCTTGGCATTGTTTTGGCGTTGCGTTCATATTGAAATTATGCAGCAAATCCGTATCGAAACCCTCCACAAACGGATTTCTCTTGAAATCCTCCGCAGGAAGCTATTGGAATCCTACACAAGAAGAGTTCCCGTTGAAACCCTCCACAGAAGGACTCCTACGAAATCCTCCGCGCAAGGATTCTTCTGGAAACGCCCGCAGAACGATTCCGATTGGAATCCTCCGCAGAAGGTTCCTATTGAAATCCTTCACAGAAGGATTTCCATTGAAATCCTACATCGAAGAATTTCCATTGAAATCCTGCACATAAGGATTCCTATTGAACTCCCAAACAAGAAGGGTTGCTATTGAAATCCTCGACATAATGATTCATTGAAATCCTCTACAGGAATATTCCAAATGAAACCGTCCACAAAAGGATTCCCGTTGAAGTGCACAAGAGAAACGACTCATCGCGTTCGCATTGAACTGGCATTGAATCCGCATTGGTATTGCACTGGCCATGTCTTGGCATTGTGCTTGCATGCGGTGGCACGGACCTCACATATAATTGGCATAGCATTGACGATCCTTGGCCTTGCGTTGGCCTTGCGCAGGCAAAGCGCCGGCATGGCACTGGCATTGCGTTGGCATTGCTTTCCTGTTGAATCCTCCACAGAGGGACTCCTACTAAAACCCTCCACAGAAGTTTCTGGTTTTTGTTTCGGGCCTGGCAGGTTGCGTGAGTTTGCGTGCGCTCGCCTGCCAGAGATTAGGCCGCGCGCGGGGCGGAAAGGGGGGGGGAGTGGGTGGGTGGGGAGGGGGGTAGTAGCGGGGGGGGGGGGAATTTGGTGGGGGGGGGGGGGGGCCCTGGGAGGGGGGGGGGGGGGGCAAAAAAAAAAACACAAAAAACGGAAAAAACAAAAAAAAAAACATAACAATTATAATAATAATTAATATATATATATATATATAAGAAGAAGAAGAAGAAGGAAACAACAACAACACCAACAAAAAAAAACGGGGGACCCCCCCCCTGCGCCGTTTCCCCCCCCCCCCCAGGGGCTACCGCGGCGTGCTGCTCGGGGGGTCGGGGGTGGGCGGTGGAGGTGGGTGGGGGGGAGGAGAGAGGGGAGGAGGAGGAGAGGGGAGGGGCTACCTCTCTCGCCTGTTTCTCCCTCGCTTCTCCTCCTCTCTCTCTCTCTCTTCTCTCTCTCTCTCTCTCTTTTTTTTTTTCTCTCTCTCTCTCTCTCTTTCTCTCTCTCTCTCTCTCTCTCCCGCATACCTCTCTCTCTCTCTCCACCGCCTCCTCCCTATCTCTCACTCCCTCCTTCTCCCTCGCTCACTCTCGCGCCCCTCGGGGGCAAATCGTCGCGCGCGTCGGCCTCCAGACCGCCACTTGAGAATCCCCCGTTCTCCCAGAAAACGGAGGGGGGTCACAGTACCGGTTCGAACCCCCCCCCGAAAACCGGGGGAAGGTCACTGCTTGTTCGAACCCCCACGCTCGCCGCCGGCAAACGACTCCCGGGTCCATACCACCGTCCGCACCACATCCCCACTAGTGTCCCCAGCACCACTGTCCTCACCACCACTCTCATCACTACTCCCACCACCGTCCCCGCAGTCCCCACCAGTGCCCCCACCAGTGTCTCACTGTCCCCACTGGCCCCGCCACTGTTCCCACCACAGTCCCACTCTCCCCACTTTCCCCACGGCCCCAACCACTGTCCCACTGTCCCCACTGTCCCACTGTCCCCGCCGCTGTCCCACTGAGCTGTCCCGCTGTTCCCACCACGGTCCCCACTGTCCCCACCACTGTCCCCACTGTACCTCTGTCCCAATGTCCCACCGACGTCCTCGCCACCGCCCTTACCAGTCCCCAACACCAGTCCCCACCACTGTCCCACTGTCCCCACCACTGTCCCACTGTCCCCACACCACTGTCCAGACCACCGCCGTCCCCACCACTGTCCCGCAGTCCTACCACTGTCCCACTGTCCCCACTGTTCCCACCATTGTCCCTGCTGTCCCCACCACTGCCCCCACCAGTGTCTCACTGTACCCACTCTCCCCACCATTGTCCCACCACGGTCCCACTCTGCCCACTTCCCCCACGGTCCCCACCACTGTCCCACTGTCACCACTGTATCCAGCACTGTCCCCCTGTCCCCGCCACTATCCCACTGTGCTGTCCCACCGTCACCACTGTCACCACCACTGTCCCACTGTCCCCACTGTCCCCACCACTCTCCCCATTGTACTACTGACCCACCACCGTCCTCACCACCGCCTGCACCACTGACCCCACCACTACCGTCCCCACCACCGTCCCCCTGTCCCCACCACTGTCCCGCTGTCCCCTCACCACTGTCCCCACTACCACCGTCCCAACCACTGTCCACACCACTGACCCATTATCCCCACACCACTGCCCCCACCACCACCATCCCCACCACTGTCCCACAGTCCCCACCACTCCTACTGTCCCCTGTCACACTGCTCCCACAATTGTCCCCGCTGTCCCCACCAGTGCCCCCACCAGAGTCTAACTGTCCCCACTATCCCAATCATTGTCCCACCACGGTCCCACTCTCCCCGCTTTCCCCACTCACTGTGCTGTCCCACCGTCCCCGCTGGTCCCACTGTACTACTGACCCACCACCGTCCTCACCACCGCCTTCACCACTGTCCCCACCACTACCGTCCCCCCCACTGTCCCCACTGTCCCCACCACTGTCCCGCTGTCCCCTCACCACTGTCCCCACCACCACCGTCCCCACCACTGTCCCACTGTCCCCACCACTGTCTCGCTGTCCCCTCACCACTGTCCCCACCACTGTCCGCACCACTGTCCCACTGTCCCCGCACCACTATCCCCACCACCACCGTTCCCACCACTGTCCAGTATCCCCACCATTGTCCAACTGTCCCGAGGAGCGGGAATCGTTTGCCAGCGGCGAGGGGAGGGGGGGGTTCGAACCGGTAGTGACCCCCCCCCCCGTTTTCCGGAGGCGGGGGGGGGGTTTCGAACCGGTAGTGACCCCCCCCTTGTCATGATGGACTGGGGGGGGGAAGAGGGGTTCGAACCGGTAGTGACCCCCACCGGTTTTCGAGGGGGGGGGGAGAAAGACGGGTTGGGACCCCCCAGTGGCCCCCCCCCGGTTTTCCGCCAGCAGCGTCAGAACACCCTTTGCATACAAATATATATATATATATATATATGTAGATACATTCAATATATAGAGAGATATCCTGGACTCTCGTCCTCCCCCCCACTTCCCATGTTTTCGCATCGATCCTAGGAATGGATGGTTATTTGTGTCTGTGTGTTGTTGCTCCCTCCTCAAGCGCCAGGGGTGGCGCCAGAAGCGCCGCCCAGGGGTACCAAACCCGATCCGAAAAATCTGCGCGGACTGTCAACAATGGATGCTTATGCAGTGGTTTCTTCTTCGATTGGCGCGCGGGGGCGGGCCGTGCTGGCCTGGAGATCCTTCGCCCTGCCCATGCCCATCCCTCTCCCCCCCTCTCTCTCTCTCTCTCTGCGCCTCGGCTCGCCTCCCTGCCGAGAGGCCGTCCTGAGCAGCCCCAGAGCCTGGTGCGAGGCCGTCCTATAACCAGCTCCAGCGCCTCAGGTGGGCGCCATGGGCCATGCTGGCCATCGCTCGGACGTCCATTTCCTGTGTTTTTTTTCGGTTTCGTGCGTGGTTTTCCGCCAAATGATAAAGGATGCTCCTCGATGGTCCTCGCCGAAGGGAAAATGCACACGTCCGAGCGATGCCAAGCATGACGTCGACGGCTGGGGGCGGCTCCGACCATGAGTGGGGCTCTCAGGGAAGGCGCTGCGCACGGCGCGCCCACATCGCACGGCTCGGCCGCCGCGCTCTGGCCGCCAGTGCGACGCCGCGCGCCCCGCGCGTGCCCAGCGCGCGCACCCATCGGGCGGGCCCCAAGGCGCAGTCCTCCGGGGCGCCCCTTCGAAGCGTCGCCCGCCACCCGGTGGCACTGGCCCGTGGGCCCTCCGCGGTGGTCGACGCTCGCAACGGGGTGGATGACAGGGGGTGTGTCGACCCCCGTCCCAGGCTCCGTGGAGACCAACAGGGCCCCAACCCGGTTCCCTGGGATGTGCGGTGGGGGGGCGTCCATCCTCGATAAAAGGATGCGTCCGAGCAGCCCCTGTGGGGTGTATCCCGGGGCCTCCCCCTTTGCTGAAGGCCAAACTTTTCGGGCGGAACTCGTGGCTTGGAAAAGAACATCGCGTGCGAAGGGTGGACCTGCCCCGAAGGCCCCCGATCCGCCGCCCCAGCGTCCGTCTCCATATACAGCGCGGGTTCAATCAACTCCAATTCCATCAGGGTGAGCGTATCACCGTGAGCGATCCCCTGGCACACGCAGTCCAAAAACACGCAGCTCGCCGGGCTAACCTCCCTCCTCTGGGCCACCTCGCCTATGGTCATTCCTCCCTGCCCCCGCTCCTCCACCAACACCTGAGACGAAGCCAGGCCGAGGAGAACATCGGGTGAAGATAAATCGGGAATCTCTGAGACCCAGCGGCTCAGGAGGATGTCTCGGGCCCCGCGGCGTTCTCAGAGCGTTCTGAGAAGGCCGCTGTTGAATTGTCGAGTAGTAGTTCAGCGGCTGCGAATGTAGAACAAATTCTCTCTCCCTCCTCCTCCTCCTCCTCCTCCTCCTGCTCCTGCTCCTGCTCCTCCTCCTCCTCCTACTCCTCCTGCCCCTCCTCCTCCTCCTCCTCCTCCTCATCCTCCTCCTTTGCTTCCTCTTCCTCCTCCTCCTCCTCCCCCTCCTCCTCCTCCTCCTCCTCCTCACCCTCCTTGTCCGGCTCCTCCTCGTCCAACATGAGCATCGTTTATCCGACCCCTATCCCCATGGGCGTAGCCTGGGCCCCACCTTCGATGGGGAGATGGGCCGCTTCCTGTGGGCTTCGAGGGGTCCGTCCCCAACTGGGGAGCTGAGCTCGTGGGGGTCTGGATGGGGATGGGGATCAGCACAAGGGGTCGGTAAAACGATGCTGACAACAACCAGACGACCACGACGGGCGACGCCCGAGGCTTGAGCAGGGACCGACCGTCCCGGCAGTCGTATAGTGCTACAAGGAAATTATATCGGGACCCAAACATATTCTAAGAACAATAACGATGTTCTTAGAACATAAACCCGACGTGATAAAACACGACAGCCCCGGCCAGAAATGCTCTAGGAACATTTCGTGCAAACCACGACGGGTTCTTGGAGCTTTGTTTGGTAGGCCCGTAGGCACGCCGGGACGCTCTGCCACTGCTTGACGAGGCGCCACGCGACCCTCCCTGGCGGGGGCCCGGCGGGAGGGCCTGCGACGGCGCGGGCCCCGCGGCGGCGGCGGCGGCGGCGGACTGGCCGCCTCGGCGGCGCGCGCGGCGGCCGTCCTCCGAGCCTCTGTGCGTCAGCTCCTCCTCGTCCCCCTCGGCCCCTCGCCTTCGTCGTCCCCCGCTGCAGTGCTGCGACGCTGATATCTCCTGCGCGACTTGTTTTGTTGGGGGGAAGGGGCACCTTCGGCCGAACGAGGAGCAAAAACCAGAACGCCCCCCACTTAGTCCCGCAGCCTTGCAGCTCCTGCGCGACTGCCAGCCACTGCCAGATGAGAGAAAGAGAGAGAGAGAGAGAGACAGAGCACCGCCCGCCTGAACCTCCAGCTCGTTCACCTGCCTGCCCTGCGGACCGAGAGAAGCCCGGAGGAAGGCGGGGTGACCTGGTGGTCACCGCCGCCGTGCCTCCTCCTCGCCCTCCTCGCCCCTCCCTCGCCCCTCCCTCGTCCTCGCCCCTCCCTCGCCCCTCCCTCGCCCCTCCCTCGCCCCTCCCTCGCCCCTCCCTCGCCCCTCCTCGCCCCTCCCCTTCACCTCCTCCTCGCCCCCCTCGCCCCTCCCTCGCCCTCGCCCGCCTCCGCCGCTCCGGGCGGGGCAGCGGCGCGGCGGCCGCCGAGCTCGTCTCCTCGTCCTCCTCCTCCTCCTCCGCCTCCTCCTCCGGCTCCGCCTCCGCCTCCGCCTCCGCCTCGGCCTCCGCCTCGGCCTCCGCCTCCGCCTCGGCCTCCGCTTCGGCCTCCGCCTCCTCCTCCTCCTCCTCCTCCTCCTCCTCCTCTCCTCCTCCTCCTCCTCCTCCTCCTCCTCCTCCTCCTCCTCCTATTGTGCCCCTTCTTTTTTCTACTCCGCCTCCTCCTTCGTTTTCTCATTCCCCTCCATCCTGCCCCTCCTCCTCTTCATCATCCTCCTCCACGTCATCGAGACGGAAGCAGGAAGAGCAAGACATTGGGCAAAGGTGAGCGGGGAATCTCGGGGAGTTGGCCAGGGTGGGGGATACCTGGCAGCCGCCGCCGTTCCAGGGCGCTTTGGGGCGCTCTGGAGCGCTCTGGCAAGCGTTTGAAACGCTCTGGGACGACTGAGCATCGTCAATCCGACCCCTATCCTCATGGGCTCTGCCTGGGCCCCACTGGTCGACTTTCACCCTCCTGGGATGGGGATGTATGACCATCTATGTGCCGCTCCCCTCGGGTTTCGAGGGGTATGTATCCCCCACTCGGGTGCTGAGATGGTGGGGGTCTGGATGGGGAATGGGGATAGTGGTCGGTGAAACGATACTGAGTTCGGCCAGACCAAGGACAGAAAAACATCCTCCAAGAATCAGAGACCCTCCGCCGGCCAAACTGAACCCTCCCCCAGGATGCACAAGAGTCGTCACAAGAGCATCCCACAAGCACGAAGAGCACTAGGGCACCCTCCCCGAACCGACCTCGATCTTGTACCTCGGTTCGACCGTCCAGACTAGAGGCCTCCTAGACGGGGTCGGAGTAGATGTGGTCGGAGGCTCGCGCCGCATCGCCGATGCACCGGCGATGTGTTGCCGACGTGGGCGATGCATCGGCGACGTCGACGTGAAGCAAATCGGGCTCCGCATCGATCCGTATCGCCGATTCGTCGGCGATGCGTCGGCGATGCGTCGTGATCCTCCGACCCGTCTGCTGAGTCTACTCCGACTCCAGCTGGGAGGCCTAGATGCTCGCTCCGCCCGCCCAGGCGGACCCCCGACCCGGCAGGCCTCCCTCCCCGCCCGCCGCACGAGCGGGGGCGTGGGCGCCGGGCGGGCCTTCTTCCGCGGGGGGGGCCTTCTGCTTCGCCCCGCCGGCGCGGCGCTGCTTCGAGCGGCTGGGCGGGGCGGCGCGCAGGGGGGCGCCGACGACGACGGCGGCCTCGACGACCGAGACGAACACACAGCCGACGCCGACGCCGACGACGGCCACGAGAACCACGACGGCCAAGACGACGGCCAGGACGGCGATGGCGGCGGCGGCGCGCGACGAGGCCGACGAGGTCGAGCTGCGGAGGATGAGGAGGCGAGGTCCTCCGCTTCCTTCGATAGAGAGGGGGGGGGGGGGGCGAAGACGACGACGGACGCGATTTCAGGGACCAGTCCCTAAGGGACACGTAAAACTCCCAGTGGGGCGAGGGCTCTGGAGCCCACGTCGTCAGTAAAACTCACAGATCCACACTAAACAGATGCAAGCAAGCACGACATCGGAAAACTGAGGGGGCGGGGCAACATGGGCATGCAATGCCCATCTAGGCAAGGCGGCCCAGAGAGGACAGAGGCCGAACTCTGCACAGAATTGCCCCCCTCTCCCCTCCTGGCGATGTCTCACTCAGACTAGCTGAGCACTGCAGCTGGAGCCTCGCGGGCAATCCTCCTTTGACGCCTCCCATGCATAATTTTCACATGCAGATTTGTTAGCCGATGTCTTCCAATGCAGGCGACTCGGCGCCCACTCCGCCGCGCCTTCATGGCGCCACACGCGCGGAGCCGAGTCCGAGTCCGAGTCCGAGTCACCTCCTGGCTGAGAAACAGTGACGGGCCACCAAGGCCACCCAGCGGCTTCTAGCCTCCATCACCTTCGCCCCGACGAACGTCCAAAAGCAGCGCGGCGATTGCTTGCCGCGATCCACTCCCAACCGATTGGGCCCCTGGACCTCGACCCCACCCCAGGGGCCGTGCGTTCCTCCACCACCACCACTGAGCCGTGCATCCGTGTGGACGCGTGGGCAAGTCACGCCAAACGCGCGCTTGTGCCAGGAGACCAGACATGCGTACGCCAAACGCGTCCGCGACAGTCTGCCAAGCGCAAAGCCACAACAATGACGACGACGAAGATCGATGATGAAAAAATGAAACCTACCTGCGTTGAGACATTTCGAACACTGCAGTTCCCCAGCGTTGCCTTGGCCTCCCTCTTTTTCTGCGCACAGCCCATTGCTTAGGAGGTAATCTGGGACGGTCCAGAGCACAGAAAGAACGGGCCCCCAGAGACCCAAACTGAGGGAAAACGCTGCCGCCTCAGGGGGAATTGGACGGAAAAACTCGATGCGCCCAGGCCCGAAGCTTCCTGCCCGGGGCTCCCGAAGAGGCGCCCGAGGAACGCCGAGTCCCACTCCGAGTCAGAGGTGCTCCGTCACTCGACGCCCCGACTGGGGCAGCATGAGAAGCAAGGACGCAGTGTGTGGGGCGAGGGAGACTGTCGCCCAGAGAGCGGGGCGCGGGGGTTCCTTGATACCAACGGGGCCCGCCCGATGAGCCTCCCCGGAAGCCTCCGAACTCTCTGCAAGCCCCCTGCCCTCTGAGGAGGCCGCCCCGCTCGCCCCAACCCAAGACGAAGCCAGGACGAGGATAACATCGGGCGAGGATAAATCGAGAATGTCTGAGATCCGGCGGCTCTTGAGGATGTCTCGGGCACCGTGGCCTTCTGAGAACGATCCGGAACGCTCTGAGAGCGCTCTGGACCGCTCTGGAACGGACTTATCCTCGGCCTAGCCCCGTCCGACCCCTGCCTTCCGAAAAGGTCGCCCTCTTCGCCCCAACCTGTGTGTGCGCGCTGCCATTGACGAGTGCCACCAAGCCCCCCGAAGACCTGTGAGTAGTCTACATCTTGGTGTATGGCCTCCTGACCGGCCGGGCCGATGTCCACCCAGATGTGGGCCCAAATTGAGCCCTGTAGGGGCTTGGTGGTGCTGGCCGCTGTCCCTCCCCCGAAGCGAAGCGCGGCGGCCCTCAAAACCTCTGGCGTCGTGACCTGTCAGCCCCGGGGGCCCCTGGAGCCCTCGGCCACCTCCCCAGGACCGTCGTTTGCGTCGCGGGCCACCTTTTCGGACGGCCCTGGAGTCCCAAGGGCCACCCCTGAGCACCCACAGGAACAACTTGATAGACCTGTTTTCCACCACCACCATAGGCTGGAGGGGGAGGGGGTCCTCCTCCTCCTCCTCCTCCTCCTCCTCCTCCTCCTTCTCCTCCCCCTCCTCCTCCTCCTCCTCCTCCTCCTCCTCCTCCTCCTCCTCCTCCTCCTCCTCCTCCTCCATGTCCTACACCTCCTTCCCCCCTCCAACTTATGGTGGTGGTGGAAAACAGGCCCAGCACCGGAAGAAAGAACGACGCCGGAGGCCTGCGACGGCGACGCGGGGTGGCGGCGGCGGCAGCGGCCAGTGGCCGCCTGTGCATGGACATGACATGCAGCTGGCGGAGGGTCAAGGCTTCGAGGCAGTACTCGCCCTCGCCGGGCCGGGGCGCGGCAGGGGCGGGCCGGGCCCGCCGTCATATCTCCCCCGCCTCCTCACAGACCAAGGGCTCCCAACTTCGCGCTTCGCGCTGCGCGAAGCGCGAAGTGCGAATAGCTTCGCGCTCTCGCGCCGCCTCCCAGGGGAGAAGGGGAGGATGAGGAGGAATCGGAGCCGAACCGCGAAGCGCGAAGCGCGAAGAACTTCGCGCATTCGAGGGCGCCCTTGCAGACAGAGGGCAACTCTCACCACCACCATGCCTGGCCGGGTCGATCCAGGGCCTCGGCGGGCATGGAGGTGACGTGCAGGGTACCACTCGCGGACCTCACTCCTAGTTACCCCCACCCGCTTCCTCGTGCTCCTGCTCCTGCCACCTCCGCACGCACGCACGCACGCACGCACATAGACGCGCAAATAGTGGCACGGCAGGAGCAGAGGTCACGTGACTCGGTCGGTGTTTAGACACGCGCTGCCATCGAATTGCGAATGCCAATGCGCGATGAAGGCCATGCTCGCCCTGTTATTCCCAAGGGCTCCCAACATCGCGCTCCGCGCGGCGCGAGAGCGCGAAGCGCGCATAAATTTCGCGCTCTCGCGCCGCCTCCCAGGGAAGAAGAGGGGGACGAGGAGGAGGCATCGAAGCCGGACCGCGAAGCGCAAGGCGCGAAGAACTCCGCGCCCTCGCGCCGCCTCCCAGGAAAGAAGAGGAGGATGAGGAACCGGAGGCGGACCGCGACGCGCGAAGCACTTCGCGCCCTCGAGGGCGCCCTTGCACTAAGAGGTGCACCTCTGATTCCTCGAGGGCGCCCTTGTATTGAGAGGGCGCCCTTGTATTCGCGCCCTCGAGGGCGCCCTTGCATTGAGAGGTGCACCTCTGGCTCCTCGGGCGGGACAGGCTCAGCGGGTCGCGCCCGAGGAGCGCAGGCCGCGCCCCCGCACGGGTGCGGGAGGGACTGGGCCGCGCCCCCTCCGGGAGCGCGCCCGCCGGCCGGCCAGCCTCCGCAGGGCCGTCCCCCTCCGAGCCGCTCGCCCCTGCAGCAGCCTTCTGGCTTTAAGTCGGGCGTGTCCCCCTACAGGGGGATCTTCGACGAAAAATAAAAAAATCAAAAATCATACCAAAATCGTCGACAAATATTGAAAAACAAGTCCCCTGACTATTTTTTACTATTTTTGGAAATTCCCCCTGTAGAGGGACAGGCCCGACTTAATTCTGGCACGTCAAAACAGACAGACAGACGTCCGTCACTTCTAGAAGGGGCCACGCCATAAGCACAAACTCGGTCCTCCCGGCGGCGCCTCTGGCGCCGCCGCTGGCGCGCTCGGCGCACCAGGAAGGGGTGTCCAGCGCAGATCCAAGAAATGCGCGCGGTGCGCCGAATTATGGCGCTTCTTCTTCGAACTTCAGTAGAGCTGTACCGTCGCTGCGCAAGAAGCGCTCAGCACGGCAGGTGCACGATCATCGTCGAGAGTATGCCGTTCTTCTGTGGCAAGGCGTGGGTGCCCGTTCTTGGCGGCGCGCACAAGGGTGGGGACCCAAAGAATATACACCACCACCACGTCGATTCCTCCCCTCTCCTCTGTCCAGCGAGAGGGAGGGGGGGAGGGAGGTGGTGGTGGTGTATATTTTTTGGCCCCCCAAAGGGCGCGGCGGGAGGGGGGGGAAGCTTCTCGGAAGGAGGATGCTTTCTAGGGGGCGCCAGCCCCACGTCTACACGGAAAGCCCGCGCCTCTTAAGACGCAGGGGGGGGTCCTACCCTTTGCGCGTGGCCGACCACTCTTCCATGGTAGGCAATTGGTGCCAGTTCTCTGTCGTGGCAGCCGCAGCAAAGAGAAGGCGCGAACTGCGCGAGCAGCCCCGCGTCAAGCGGCCTCGCCTGCGGGAAGAAAGCAAAGACGCCGAGAGCGGGGATCTGCCGATCCCGGAAGCGGTCCAACTCTGGGTCAGTCGGGCTGTGCAAGATCCTGCGAGATCCTGGTGGATCCCGCAAGATCCTGCACGAACGCCCGGGTCAATGCACTCCTGGCTCTGCAGGATCCTGCAAGATCCGGCCGGCGCTCTGGCTGACCCCCGTCTGCATTGACCCCCGTCTCTAGAGCCCCGTCAAGATGCCCGTGACCGCGCGCCGGAAAGGAGTGACGAGCATCGTTGAATCTCGAACTCCTCGAAGGCCTCCAGGCCCTCGAGGCCCTCGAGCCTGGACTCGGTGCGATCGAAATGGATACGGAAATAATGGGTACCAAGAACGACGCAGTCCATGTTCATGTTGAACAAGGCTCGCTGCCGGTGCCGCCGCGGACGCCGTCGAGTCGAGAGGGCGCCTGCCCAACGGCGGCCGCTATCGGTGGTGATCCCCGTGGGTGTGGTGTGTCCTGGGCCTCATTTGCCCATCTACCCCCCTGGATGGGGATACAGGCTGCTTCCTTCCGGCTTCGAGGGGTATATCCCCCATTGGGGTGCTGAGATGGTGGGGGTCTGGATCGGGATGGGGACGGGGATGGGTGAAGGGGCCCTGGGACACACAAAAATAAACAGACACAAATCACCGGACTCCCCATATCTTTCCGTATGTTCTGGGATTCTGTCTTCCCCCCCGATTCCCATATTTTTTGCCGTCGCCGATCTCTCGAGAGGGGTGTCGAAATCGATGGGTCCCCCAGGGGGGTAAGGACCACAGCTCCCCCAATTGTGGCTGGCCTGCCATTCTTTCCGTGCCCATCTCGTTCGTGCAGAGGTGCCGCGGCCGGCGGCGGCGGCGGCCGACCGGCCGGGGCGAGCGGGCGGCGTCCTCCTCGGGCTCCAGCGGCTCCTCGGGCACCTCGGCGAGGCCGGGGGCGCTCCCCGCGGGGCCCGGCGGCGACGCGCACCGTGGCCGCCGCCCGCGGAGGAGGCTCGGGGAGCCCCGCGTGGCTTTCGGAGTGGTCTCTCGCCGCAGTCACTGCCAGCCTCGAACTTCTCCCTATCCCTAAGACTGACACGCCAAAAGGCGATGACAATCTTAGGGATGAGCCCTGAAAAACTAAGGGAATCCCTAAGATTGGCATCGTGATGAGGAGATGCCCAGCATAGGGATAGGGATATGTCCCAGGCTGGTAAAGTCAAACGTAATCGATCATGCAAGCAGCTCAGAAACAGCGTTCCCGCTGCAGCGCTGGCCGCATTTCGAGGTCTGCGCTCTGCTCTCCTCGTCCAGGTTTGCGCTCTGGCCCCCGCGATGGCCAAGTGTGTATCCAATATGCTCCTCGCCATTGAGGTTCCCTCAACTTTGTTCCTGCGCCTTCTCCTCCTACTCCTGTTGCTGCTGCTGCTCCTCCTTCCTCATCACCCTGCTACTCCTCTTGCTCTTTATCCTGCTGATCCCCCTCCTCATCCTCCTCCTCCTCCTCCTCCTCCTCCTCCTCCTACTCCTACTCCTACTCCTACTCCTTCTCCTCCTCCTCTTCCTCCTCCTCCTCCTCCTACAGTTAACCACCCCCTTTCTGACCCTACATCACACGATAAGGAGTCATTTGGGGGGCAATGTGATCCAGGATCTAGGACACCTCAGCCAGCGGTTGGATGAATGTCCAGCGCACTCGGAAGGGATGCGTGGGAGGGGTAGGATGCCAGATGTTGCGCCAGCGCGCCGCACCTAGGTTGTCCTTCCCCCCTCCTCCTCCTCCTCCTCCTCCTCCTCCTCCTCCTCCTCCTCTTCCGTCCCATCCCCTCTTCCTCGTCGCCCTTCTCCTCCCCACCCCGTCCTTCCCTCCCACAGACCCCTGCATATCTCGCGAACTGTTTTCATCTACGCGCACACACACATGCGATTATCTCGAGTCGGCGGTCGGTCGAGGTATTCAGATTCGAACCTATTCGACCATTCACCATAAACAAGTGTTAGCCACCATTGGCCCCAGCACATGTGTTCTAGCATGCTCTGTGGTGCCATACATGTAGCTCACTATACGCGGTGCAAGATATGTGGCATACACTGTGTTAAGCAACCTATGTTGCGCCAGATGCGAGTGAAATCTACGAGTTGTAATCTGGGTGGTGCAGTGTATGTGGTGCAGTCTATGTGGTGCAGTCTGTACGGGGTGAACTCGGTTGAGCAAAATATGCGTCTCGAGCTACGTAATGCATTGTGTGTGGTGCAGTGTACGTGGTGCAACAGATGTGTTGCAATCTATGTGCTGCAATATAAGCGGTGTGAACTAGGTGGCGACACCGGTGTTAAGTAGCCTGTGTAGTGCACTGTGTGTGGTGCAACCTGAATGGCGCGGTCAACCTCGAAGAACATGGAATTATCACCCCCACTGCCCGCGCAATCATCCCGCCCTGCCATCCGCAACTTGGCTTGCAAAACTCATGCAGCGGCGCTTGCTAGGCCATGGCTGGCGCATCTCTGCGGCCGCGCTGGCGCGGGCAAGATCGCGCGCAGAAAGGATAGCCGGATGGCACATTCAATGCGGCCGCGATGACGCTTTCCCACGGCAGCGCCCCAGTGCGTGTCAAAGGCCGCGCTGGCGTGCGGGCGCTTCAATGTGGGTCGGTGACTCGGGCGGGTGTGGTATCAGGATTGCGCCGACAACAGCGGCAACGATAATGGTAGTAGCGATGGTGGTGACGATGATGACGGTGACGACGGCAAGGTCAATGGCAGTGCCGATGCCTGTAACGCCGATGACGATGCTGATGTCCGTATTTAACTGATGACATTCTGGAAGGATGTTGATCGGCGCGCGCGGCCGGCGCGCGCGGGTGACCCGCCTGGAAAGAATTCGAAGGGATCGTGCCCCCCAATTAGCGCGCAAAATATGTATAATGATTCCGACATGCGCGCGCGAAGAGTCTGGAGTGGTCAAATTTGAGGAACCTGTTGGGAAACGACATATGGCTTTAATGTGAACTCGCAAGAACGCACGCGCAGATTTTCCATGTGGATGAAAAACAAAGGTTTGCCAGAGCCATCCTGTGTTGGGTTCTCGTTTTGCATGGACCACTTTGGTATCCACGTCTCCTTTCCTCCCCTCTCCCTCCTCCTGCCTCCTCATGCGTTGCTCCCTGGGTGGCTGCGAACTGCGCAACTGTCGCCACGTTCGTGGGCTCCTGGGAGGTCCAGCGGAATAGGGAACTACGCCCAGTCAAGGCCTTGCAGATCCCTGGGTGGCTGCGAACTGCGTAACCACCTTCGTGGGCTCGTGTGAGGCATCTCGGAGTAAGGGAGCCCGAGCACCCCGCCGAGACCTCGAATCTCCATGGCGGACTGCGAACGGCGCAACGGTCGCGACTTTCGTGGGATCTTGGGGGGCACGGCAGAGTAGGGAAGTACGCGCACCCAGACGATACCTCGCAGCTCCCTGGGGGGCCTGAGAACTGCGCAACTGTCAACACGTTCGTGGGCTCCTGGGACGCACGGCGGAGCAGGGGAGTACGCGCACCCAGCCGAGACCTCGCAGCTCCCTGGGGGGGCCTGCGAACTGCGCAACCGTCACCACCTTCGCGGCCTCCTGGGACGCACGGCGGAGAAGGGGAGCACGCGCACGCCGCCGAGGCCTCGAAACTCCCCGGCGGACATCGAACTGAGCAACCGTCGCCACGTTCGTGGGCCCCTGACAGGGAAACGAGCTCTATACACCGACGCGTTTTTCCAGCCCTGCGCTGAAATTCGCACGGGAACGCGGACCCTGGTGTATACGGGATCCTGGTGTATACATGTTTCGTTGCTTCCCCTGGAAAACGGGGGAGAAGTATACACCACACCACGCCGACGTCGTCACCGACCCTCAGAAAAGTCATGGGATTGAAACAAGACCTGCCACTGGTAGTGTATATGTTCCAGTTTCCGACCTGAGAGGTCCAGCAAAGTCGGGGGGGCCACACGGACTCGTTTGGGACCTCGCTGCAACCCGGGAGGCTGCGAGCTGCGAAACGCTCACCACCCTCGTGGGCTCCCGGGGGGGGGGGGTCAGCGGGGTCGCGACACACGCGCGCCCGTTTGACACCTCACTGCTCCCTGGGACGTCGCGAACTGCACAAGTGCCGCCGCGTGGAGGGCGCAAAAGGGTGTGGTATAAAAGGACGCGTCGATCGAAAACCGAAAGAGACTCTCATGGACGAATCCGCCGGCCCTTTGGCCGGCCAATTCGCTCCTGCTCCCGCCTTTCCTGGCGCCGCGAGCAGTGGCTGCTCCGCCGGACCCTCCACCGAGCGCGGCTTCGGCCAGCGCTCCCGCTCCCGCCTCAGGCGGTGCGAGCGGTGCCAACTTTGAAAACATTGTAGCGATGTTATCCACGATAGCCACAAGTGCGATGCATCCTGATGTCGACAACGCTGGCTTCGCGTCGACCGCTTCAAATTAAATCAATAGAAGAATTCAAACTCCCCCAGCGACCGCCGTCCAATCTGAACGGCGACAGAAATTCCCAATCCATGACGACGTATTTGCCAGGCACGCAGGTGTGGAGATTCCGGAATTTCCGGAATTCATTGTACTGATTCCAAAATTTCCGGAACGTCGTTTCGGCATTTCCATAATTATGTTTCGCATTGAAACGAAACCATTTCTTAATTCCGGAATTTCCGGAACTACGTTTGGGGCGGTACGGAAATTCCGGAATGACGCTCTTCGCGATTCGGAATTTCCGAAATGTCTTGCTTGGTGACGGGGCTTCGGGAACAGGTGTAGTGTTGCCGTTCACATAAGCATGTGGTGGTTTGGGGAAGTTGGCATCAAGAGCTCTGACGTTGCTTAAGTCGGTCCGCTGAACACACACTTGCGTCTATCGTAAACAACATCGCCATATTCGGCATTGGCACCGCACCCCTTGATACCGCACCCTTCTGCGACCTCTAGGTCCAGCGGAGTCGGGGTCCACGCGGGTGAAACCGCTACTCGCGGCTCCCTGGGAGGCCACGAGCTGGGCAACTTTCCCACTTTCGCTTGTTCCTGGGAGGCACGGCAGAGACGAGGGCAGCGCTGAACATGCATATCTGACGATATCCTGCGTCAGGAAGGTTTTGGGTACGCATCGGGTAACGTACTATTCGGTGTTCGAGAACCTCGATCTTGGAACCCTTCGAAACATTGCGGCTTGGACTGGGTGTCGACATGCGCGAGCAACGACGCGCGCTGGACTTGGTCACGTTGTTGCTCCAGCGAGCGTTGGAACAAGATGTGTCCCAACCCTCCTGCGTTTGGTTCTCGTCTTGAATGGAGCACTGGTCGCCACTCCTCCTCCCCTTTTTCCTGCCTTATCCCCGCTCGCCATCTTGGTCTCAGCTCGATCGGGAAAATATTTCTGCAAAAAAGCGTCGCGGCGGGATCGGCTGTTTCGAGTCATCTTGACACGCGATGACGGTCATCTAAACATAACTCGAGCTTTAGGACAGCTACAGAGCTGGAAAGTTCCTCCTGCGTTGCTCTCTGGGTTGCCGCGAGCTGCGCAGCTGTCGCCACATTCGCGGGTTCCCTGGCGGTCCGCCGGGGGGGGGGGGGGGCACCCGCATCCATACGGGACCTCCAGGCTGCCCAAACAGCTGCGAACTGCACAACTGTTGCCATTTTCGTAGCCTCCTGGGCATCCAAACGTAAGCGTGCCACTTTCGTGCGCTCCTGGGGGGGGGGGGGTCGAACGGGGTGAATGTGTATGCAATCTACACGGGACCTCGCGGATCCTTCTATGACTGCGAGATGCTCAAGTGTCGCCATTTGCACGGGACCCTGGATGGCCCGGCGGGGTGGACGTTTGCGCGAATCGAAACGAGAACACGCGGTTGCCTGAGCGGCTGCGAACTGCGCAACTGTCGCCATTTTCGCGGGCTCCTGCGAAGTCCACT